GTGTGTGTGTGTGTGTGTTAAGGAAATACCAACTAAGTCTAGCCACCACAGGAAGGAGCAGGAATTCCTCGTCCTCCGTTACCACTTGCGGTGTAGAGATCCTAAGAGGCCAACAAGAAGGATGGGAGTGAATGGTCAGAAGTAGGCGCTGACGTGAGTTCACACGGGAAATCACAGCGCAAAACAAAACAAAAAACAAAAAAAAAAGTCCACACCGGACCCCCCAAGAAAAAAGGTGCACGCCAAGAAAGATAGAATGATGAAAAACACTATCCCACTTCTCTCTTATCAATCTATATAGATAGATAAAATGTAAACCCATCACTCTTTGCGAAGTGCCTGCAGCAGCGCGCTCTGCTGCACCACAAGACCCTCCATCATCTGCCGGAGCTGATCTATCTCACTCCGCTGCTGCAGTTGTTGCGCATCCCATCGCTCGTTGAGCTGTTGAGCAAGATCGCTGTTCCGCTCTTGGGCGATTTGCACCTCCGCCATCAGTCGTGCACATACTTTCTCAAGGCGTCCCACTCGATCCTCCGGGTAATTCTGGTTTTGTTCCTTTGAATGCGTCATGAATTGATGTGACCCGTGCGGGGTTGACATCGACCCGTTTGACNGTAATTCTGGTTTTGTTCCTTTGAATGCGTCATGAATTGATGTGACCCGTGCGGGGTTGACATCGACCCGTTTGACCAGCCATCACCGGCTACCTCGTCATATGTTTTTCCGACGTACTCCACGACGCTTACCTCTTCGTCCGTCTCTTCTATCTTTGCTGCTCCAGCATCGGTATTGTTTTCGGCATGCTCTATCGAAGCCAAAACCGCGTCATGGGGATATTGCTGGTTGTTTTGTCTCTCCTGGTCTAACCCACACTTCTCATTATTCTTGTTGGTGTCGATACCCCTGTCATTTTTCCAGTCGTTGTACTCCTCCGACACTCGGGGGCTCTTATAAATTGGATACCGCCGTTCATTTTCTTCACGACCAAATGCCAAGGATTTCCCGCTGTCGCTGTTGCGTCCTCCTCTCTGTGCCAAACGCTGGTTGCTGCCACAGCCTCCTTCATCTTTCTTGCCATGATCCTCCTGCAGGGGTGCGACCGGTGCCGCTGGACCACTCCCACCAGAGCGAGACGATGGCTGTGCGAGGGGTGGTTTTTGTGAAAAGACAGAAAATTGCGATGATGTCATTGACAACGGCAAGTGTCCCTGTGACTTCGGCTCTGTCTCGGTGCCATTTGTCTTTGGTAATTCCTGCTGGGGGTGGGCCGCACGGTCGGCTGACGTCTCTATTGAGCAGCAAAAGTCATTAGGTGAGGCAATGGCAACAGCCCCAGAAGCAGCACGACGTCGATCGGTGCCAACGCGCGGCGAACTTGTAGAAGAAGGTACCAAGTCTCTCGGCAAGTCCTCCGGCAATGGTGCCGTCGCCCCCTCCGGAAGCAGTGGTCGCGTCGGCGCGTCTTCGGCAACGTAGAGATGAGTGTTTGGGTAAGTTGCATACGATGGCTGCACACACGGTAGCCCTGAGCGCCACACCATGACAATACCATCCTGCCCTGCCGTTGTGAAACATGCTCCATTGTCGGAGAAGCGAGCGGTGTGCACAGCACCTTCATGTGCATTCAACGTGCAATACAAGAATCCCTCCTTCAGGTCCCACAGTTTCGCCGCGCCATCAGCAGAGGCTGAGAGAAGCCAGCTCCCCGTCGGCGCAAAGCGCACTTCATTGACTGCACCATCATGCGCGTCGTAATGTTGCAGAAGACGGTTTCTGCGCAGGTCAAAAACATTTATTGTGTGATCAGCAGAGCCAGTGGCGAGAGAGCAACCGTCAGGATGAAAGTCAACGGAGCGAACAGAGTCAGTATGCTCAAAAAATGTGTGCGTCGGCCGTCGCGAGCGAGGATCCCACACATGCACCGTCCGATCATCACCACCACTCGCGATGAGTGGAACACGTGTAGCGAGAATGCCGTTTCCACTTCCGCTGCCGTTAGACACGGCGACGGTGCGCACCCAATTCTGGTGTCCCCCTGTGAAACCGCAGACAAACTTGTTACCACAGCTCTTGCCGTGTGTGGAAGTAGCGGAAGAAGAGGAAGAGGCATAGTTGAGGTCCCAGCATTTCACTGCCTTGTCGTCACCCGCCGTGTACAGGTGATCATCGTGCGGCGCGAAAGCGAGTGCCCGCACGGGACCGGCGTGCGCTCGCCAGAGGACGGAGTTCTCACCGCCGTAGCTGCTCACGGACGGCGCAGCCAGCCCACCAGTGCGGCGGAGCGAGGGCAGCCACAGGCGAATGAACCCATCATGTCCAGCGCTCGCGATGAGATGCGCGTGCGGACTCCATGCGCAGTCATGTACAGGGCCGCGGTGACCAACGAAACGCAGCGCTCGCACTGTAGCCTTTGCGCTCCACAAGAACACCAACCCATCGGAGCCGCATGAGAGAGCATACGGAGGCACCGTTGTGTCACTCGCGTCAGTACGTCGGTCCAAGAGTGAGGACGCAGACGGCTGAAACCCCACCGCCAGCACGCTGCTACGGTGACCGCGAAATGTCAACTCTAGCGACGGGCGAAACGGCTGTGAACCTAGCGGGTCATTTGCCGCGACAACTGCAGCTACCTTCCGTGGCATGCCTTCGCTGCCGCGGTTGCTAGACGGCTTTGTGTACCCCATTCTAGACATGATTGCAGGAGTACTGCTCCCTTTTCTCTCCCTCGTTTTTCGCTCCTTCTGGCAGAGAAACACTCTCTATTTCGTTCACTCTATATCTCCCTCAGACCTTCTGATGTCAACCTCCCGCGCTTGCACGAAGGCCTGTAGTAAATAGGTGATGTGAAAAGAACAGAGGTTGAGTGGACGGGGAAGCGTGCACGGCAGAGCTGGCGAAAGCAGAACAGGTCTTCTGTCGTGGCTTACAGCCGAGGGTGAGGGAACAGTTCATTTCAGCTGCGGGGGAGTGGAGGAAGGGGGAGGGATAAGCGAAAAAGTCGACACATAGTTGGGGATGGCCCCACTAAAAGGGGATTGGGGGATGGACAACAGAAACCAGATTCCCCCGTAGTAAAAAAAAAAAAACAAATTTGACGAGAGTAGAAAGTTACAATGCCAAGCACATTATTTATTCCCTCTCCTCCGTGCGCACATCTACTCGCGGTTAGACTCCGCATGACGAGAATAAAGAGTGAAGGAAATGGCAGCGCTAGAGAGTGCAACCTCTCCTCTCTTTATCTCGCCATTCTCTCGGCGCAATCAAAATCCCCCAGCACTAACATTCCCCATCATGTTCAAGCAAAACTCAGCGTGCCACAATACATTTTCTACCACAACACCCACCCACCAACCCACCATATATCTATCTATNTATATATATATATATATATAGATAGATATAGATATAGATATAGATATATAGATATATCAAACTGTTGTTGAAAAACACATGAAGGGTCCCTTGAAGTGGCTCCTTTTGCCCTTTCCCCCGCCCCTCCCTGCTTCAACCTTACACGAGGGGGGAGGGGGAAAGGGAAATCAAAAAGAAAAATAACCGTGAGACACAAAGTGTTCTAAATGCACTTTATTTAGAGGTGGAACAATGGAGCGAGAGCACGGAAAGGGCAAGAGAGGGGCGTGCGTCGAATGAAGGTAAAAAAAAAAAGATTCATGACATATACTGTCATTGCTTCTCACTTTTTTTGTGTATCATTTAGGGTCTGTGGTAGGGTGTCCCCTCACTCAACGCAAGTCCTGAGCCATTTTACTAGACAGAACGGATGAACGACGAAAGCTGTGCATAGAAAGTGCAGGTATGTCCTCATCGTCGAAGAAGTTATTGTATGCAACCTTAGGGGTATCACAAGGATCATTGCCAGGAGAAGCGGGAAACCGTTTTTTTGTGCCGTTTGAAGAAACACCACGTGCTTGCCGACGGTTTTGGACGAAGCAGGAACAGCAGGAGCAGCAACTATCATTATCACTCAAAAAACTCCGTGCACTGGTGGCGCCGCTGTTACACCTGCTACTGCTATTACTTCCTGTTTCTCCCCATTCCTCTTGTATAATAGGTTTCGCGTGACGTTGTGAAGTCCTTTTTGGTGATGTTGGCGTTGCTGGCCGGTTTCCGTTTGTTCCCTGAGGAGTTTTGCTAAACGAGCCCCCGCGCGACAATGATGATACGTCTCTTCCACCACTATGCTGCTTAGTACGAAGATTGGAAAGAGTGCGTGTCAACATGACACTTGTTTTGGGCGTTGGCGGCGCGGCCCCACTTTCTCCACATCTACCGGTGAAGGAATGCCGCCGATCCAACTGAGGCCGATCTTCGCTGTGTGGCTCGGGTGCCGTCCCCCCAACCGGGACCGAACAAGTCAGAGGATACGAGCGAATGTAGTGCGACGAGTCACTGTGTGACAGCTCAGCCACAGATAAATCCTCTTCGTTGACAACTTTATGAAAAGGACAGTTGCGCCTTCGACGATGCGAGCCGTTGAAATCCGGTTTGCGAGCCCCATCCCGCTTTGCTACCTTCTGTGTTGCGGGTACCGGAGACGGCTGCAGTGTCTCGTGCACCAATCGCGACTCATTTTTCCCCTCGGGCTGCGAGGAAGGGGGTGATTGGAGCGACTGACGGAACTGTGGACGCACATATGGAGTGTTGCTCTCGTTCTCCTGAGAATGCAGGCTGGACAAAGCTTGTGCTTCCTTTGATACAGATTTTTTCTGTGTAAACCCAGACTCATCACCATACATGTCGTACACACAGCTCATGCCGACACGCTTAAAGATACGGCGTCCACCACCGGCACCTTGCAGCACAATGGACGAGGATGCGGATGAATGATGAGAGGAAGTAGTGACTATGCTCTGCATGGGTGTCTCCGGTATAGGAGCCTGTGCAGAAGAGCTCAGGACAGACGTTGCATCACCCGAATATTTCGGTGCAACGTTGTTGAAACGGCGTCTTCGCGGGTTTTGGCTCCCATTTGCAATGATGGGTGAAGCCCGAGACGGCAACGCCTCCGTGCTACCTTGGCATGTATTTTGTTCACCACACGTGGGCAGCCGATTCCTCATTAGAGGTGTAGACGTCGAGAGACTCCCCATTTCGCAGGTGCTGCTGCTACTCGAATTGAGAGCCCGCGGTGACAACGCCAGTGTAGCTGCACGTAACGGGAGAGGCAACTGGGACTTCATTGGTGAACCTGCATCCTTCGACACAGGCGTGAAAGTGCCGATGAGCTCCCGCAAAAACACACGCCTCGCCTCGTGTGGTAGTGGTTCTCTGGAGTGCTCAACCATGTGTCCGTATATATATATATATATACGAGTGTGACAAAGTATTGATTGTAGGAGTGCCACACACGCACACACAACTTGTGTCTACGGTTGCTCTCTAAACAAGGGCCTACGACGTTTCCCACTACACTTACCGTTTCTGGGTCAGACAAGCAAGGCACAAGTAAAAATGAGAAGAAAGAATATGTTCATGTACACACTTTCTGAACAGAGTGCAATCCTCTTTTCCTCCCCGATGATGAGGGAAAGTGAAGTGGAACGAAGAGTCAGTTTGTGACATCCTCGCCTGTAGTGTGGCTTTGTTACTAAACTAGGAATAAACAATGGAAATAATCAACACGGGATCGAACGAGCGGAAGAGAAGCTCCCCACCAAGGAAGCAGCTATGCCCTCTTGGTGTGGGGCCGTTTTCCCTCTCATTCTCAGAGCCGCGCCTATGCGCGAGTGTAGACACGTGCCTTGCTGCTGCAGGAGACAAGCTTAATCAGCTTCTGCTTGCACAGGTGCTGCAGGCCCTTCGAGGCGAGTGAGACGGCGATCTTAAGGCGGTCGCTGATGATGGAAGGCGTGATGACCTTGTACTTGGGCACCTCGCTCATGAGCTTGTCCAGCGTCTCCTTGTCGAACATCACGGCGTTCTGCAGCGCCTCGCGGGTGCGGCCCTTGGACCACTTCTTGGCTGCCTTCTTGGCGCCCTTGTTGAGGTTCTCCATCTTGCCCTTCTTGGGCGCGGCCTTCGTGTCCTTCCCTCCCTTCTTCGGCGGCATTGTCGGTCTGTGGCCCTCCGGTGTGATCTGCGCGCCGAAAAAAAAACAAGAAAAAAAAACATTCAATGAGCAGAGAAACAGGAAGAAGATGTGGGAGTCACAGAAGAGGAGTGTCCGGGCACACGAATCGATGTGCGACTCAGAGTGGCATTAAAATGCGTGCAGCAGACCGACACAGACACCAGAGGGAGACTGGTGGGCGGCAGGCCAGCGCTGAGGCGGAGGGGGTGGGGGGAGGAAAAACAAAACAACAAACTACCCACAATGGCACATGGGTGCCACGAGTCACAACGAACAAAAAGCCAACATGCGTACCACACAAGCACGAAGACAGCAGGAAGAATAATAAAAAAAACGGCATCAAGCCCTACTCATAACAAATCCACTGGCCACATACACATAAAAACACCCACTGCAACGCCCACGTCAACACCCACAGAGCAAGAGAGAGAGAGAGAGAGAGAGATACGGACACAGCCTCAGAGGTGCACCAGTCCACGGCACAATCCACATCACTCTTCCTCGTCATCGTAAAATAGCGTCACAGGCAGCCACTGCCACGCCCCGGTGGCACACTCGCTTCGTCGTCTCCATCGACCGGTTCGTTGTACCCATAAACATCGCGGTTCCCGAAGCCCATCATTATCTCCCGTGCCTTAGCCTCCCCAAAGCTCCCAACCAGTTCCTCAGTGCTCTTCTCGTTCGACCAGTCATAGCGTTTGTGCATCGCACGGTACTTCTTCACAACAATGATGTCCTGCAGCTGCCGAAGTGCCCATCGGCCGCGTGCGAGACGACGCGCGAACTCCGGCGTGCCTGGCTTCACATGCGGAGGAGCGGCAAATCCTTCTTGCACCATCGCGCGGTATGCCGACGTAGAGACCAACGCGTGTGCTAACCTGGCTACGCCCACTCCTCCTGCTGCTGCGGCGGCGGCAGTTGCCTCTGGTGCACGTGTGTTTTCACGCCTGCAAGTGAGTGCAGGGGCGAGCATCATAAACTCGAGATAGAGTTTTGCAACGCGCGGGTGCATGTAGCCAAGTCTCTCACTACTCACCCGAGTCATTCACAACACGCACGCACATTCACAGACAGGAGGAAAAAAAAAAAAAAAGGAAACCAAGAAAGAAGTAACAAAGAAGTAAATGATAGGGTGCGTGGCCAGAGCAAGCTTTGGCTGTGTCCTCGTGGTGCCTTTGTTTTTTGTTTCCCGGTAATCACCCATTGTTCTGCTTAAAAATGACAGCGTGGCAAAATCCTCACCTGCATCACCCCTTAATGCAGATTTGTCGCAGGTGCCACGGTATAACCCACATATATGCCCGCCTTAGCGCCGCCTACCTTTCCATGAGGCGCGCCTCTACAGCCCAGCGCAGCAGAGATGCCGTCGTGGCCACGGAAGACACCACTGCAGGTATCGCGGTAGGTGTATCCTCTCCAACTGGGTGCGGTCGGGTCATATTTCCCTCCATTCTGTGATGATGCAGCAGCCGATCCACTTCCGTGACGAACGCGCGATTTTGTGATGTGCGTACGATCCGTGCAAGACTGTCAGCAATGCTTTGCGCAAGCAGCATCCACGACTGCAGTCCTGGCCCAGATCCCATCGCATCGTCTTCACCCTTTCCAACTTCAGCACTCGGCTTCACTGCTGCGCGCCGCAGAAAGCAATCGATATTATCCGCAGCGAGGCGTGAAAGGGCGCCGTCCACAGTATTCGCAATGCACCTTGACAGCTGTTTTAGCGGACTCTCTGTGCTTAACTCCAAATGCACTGCCACGCTTGATAGGAGCACACGGCTCCACAAGCAGAGTGGCGCATTCACGATGATGGTGATGCTCTGTACACTCCCTGCGTCGAGGGCGCCGTCCAAGTAGAAGCTGAAGCCAAGCTGCTCCCGAAGCCCGCATACATCCTCGTGTTCCTTCTCACTAGGGCGGCGACGTGACCACACCGTCTCCCAAGAGATTTCTGGCAGCAGGTGAGTCTCACTGAAGCGCATCAGGAGTGGAAAGAGTTGCGTCTCCTCTGTCACGTCTGATGCTGGGCCCCGTTCTGCGTGCTCCGACTGTCGTCGGCGCTTTCGCTGATTATGTGATGTGAGTGTGATAGACGAGGAGGCAAAGCATGCGTCACCGTCGACAGCATGCAGAAGCAGTACTGCTGTATTGTGCCCGCCCCGCTGGCCCAATGGGATGTTTGCGTTGAGAAGGAGCGCCACTTGCAGCAAATACCCTGGTGCGGCCTCATCGTCATCCTTATCCCTTAAGCTGAGGGTTGACATCATCGTCGCACTGTGCATCGCGCCAAGGATGCCGTCGCGATCCTTTTCCCATGTGAGGATCGGAACATACGGCAGCAGCGAAACATGCAGACGGCTGGGAAGGCCAATCAGTGCCGAGCAGATCGCCAACCGGCGCTGCAGCTGTACACACCACCACGCAGATAGCACTGTCTGCGGACAGGTCGTTGATGCAGCAGTAGCGGCAGCGCCCACCGACCTTGCGTCTGTCGCCCTCTCCTCGCCTAAAAGGAGAAACGTCACTTGGTAGGTGAATATGGTCCCATTTTCATCAGTCGTCTTACCAATACTTTTTCTGTTTTGGCTGTCGTGCTGCCACGCAAGAGCGCTCGTCAGACGCGCGTCAACGACGATAAGAATGGGGAAGGATGAACGATGCAGCACAGCAGCTCCCTCGTCCTGGTGCTCCACAGTTGCGGTGAGAAGCTCCACAGTGTGAATCTGGTGCGATTGCACTAGATGCACAATACCCGCCGCAAAGGCCTCGGCAGTCATCGTCGCTGTTGTTGCATGTGCAACCTTCTTCGATGTGCGCCGCATCGAAACCCCCCGTGGGTTTTCTGTATGTTGATCTTCCTTTCGGTTCGTGTCTGTATCGCTATGGCAGAGGAGTGTGTTGGGAAGAAATGACTTAATAGCCTGAAGGGGGGGCAAACAAAACGAAAAAAAAAATTTACAGCAACAACACCAACCAAAAAGGATTACCACATGTTTGTAACTTCCTCTCCCCTTCCTATTCATCCCGATTTTCTTTTGGCTTGCTTTCATACGCGACGAGAAAGAAATGGGAGGGCAGCTAGCAATCTACGCAGTGAGCCTCCCCTCCGTTGTCATGTCAAACGCTCATACATAGTGATACATTGCGGCGACGAAATCCCCCTCGCGCCCTATGATCATTACTCTGTTTTGCTCTCATTTACATTCGCCTTGGAAACTGACTCCTGCGGCTCCTGATCATCAGCACCCTCAGCCTTTTGCGGCTGCCGATCTTCCCCTTCCGCCGCTGATTCACCGTCAGCGTCCACTTCATTCCCCCCTAGCGCCTTGATGAAATCCTCCGTCTTCTTTTCTAGGACGTCGTGCAGCGGGCACATGGTATCATCGTACTCGTTACGTACCTCGACCACCTTGCGCATTGCCTCCTCTTGCAGCCTCTGCAGCTCCTCCGCCGCCGTGTCCATTCCCTCCTTGATAGCCTGCAGCTCATGTCGTAGACGCGTGACCATCTGCCGCCGCTCTTCCACCGTCGTGTTCGGGTCCGGTGACTCAACGATCTTCTTCACGCGGTAGTGGTCGCACACCGCCCACAGCCACTGCCCAATCGCCCCCAGCGGCACGGATAGCTGGGCGAGTACATCAGGCGCGTGCTCCGGGGAGTAGCAGTAAGTCTCCAATTCCTCCAGCACACCGTCGGGGAGGGGCTGCTGCAGCAGCGTCTGCGCACGGCTAATGAAGAAGGTGAAGAAGTAGCTCTCACTAAGTACCACCTGCACGGTCGACCACCGCGTGTCCTCGTCTCCGCGCACACGTAGAGCCATCTCCATGGTCGAAAGCGCCTGTCGTGGCGGGCACTCGTACTCGCGTAGTACTGTAAGTTCCTCCTTTGTCACGATATGCAGTTTCTGGTAGCTATCCTGCATGGCCTTTTGTACGGGAAGCATGAGATCCCGCTCGATGGCCTGGAGCTCCCGCTGAGGGAGCAGGCGTGAGCCACCGCGACGCTCCTGCATGACAATTATACGCTCCAGCCAGACCAGTTTTGTTTCAATGCATCGTCGCTTTTGCACGCCCGCAAAAATTATATTGCGTAGTGGTGTCATTAGCGGCTCGTAATGCAGCATGACGCGATCCAAATTCGTGTGGTACTCATTGCACAGCATGCCGAGTTGTGCGGCTTTGAGCTGCACGTCCCCCTCAATATTGACGAGGGTTGCGAGCTGCTGCTCATTCAGCACTGGCGGGCAGGGCCGCTGTGGTGGTGCAGCTGTCTCGGTCATTACTTGAAGTTCTACACACGGCATTAACGAGAGAAGGCCCAAAAAAAAAGCAGGATGCATTATAAATAAAAACAGAAATTATGTAAAGACCCCTTATTACCGTTTCCCCTCCCTCTTCACCACCCCACCTCCCCAAAAAGGGAGAGAAACGAGTGAAATCGTATTGTGATCTGACGATACCATCCTTTCCTTGCATATGTGTGTGTGTGTGTGCTGGATGAGAGAGTATCTGTTTCTCACCTAGTTGCGGAGGAAGTTCGACCACCGTGTACGAGAGAATTCCTTCCAGTTCATCTCCAGTTGCTCATAGATGTCGGCGGACGCCTGCGGTGGCCAGTTGATTTCTTCTTCGAGGCGCGTGAAGGTATCTAGCGGAAAGTACGCCGACTGCAAGTCCTTCCGTCCGCCGCGGATCCCCACGGGCCGCTCCAGGTTGTTGAGCTTCAGCACGATGAAGACGTCCTGGTGCTCCCGCATCATCTTCTCCACCTTTCGCATCTGCTCCTCGCCCATGTCCACCTGCAGCATGATGTAGCGCGCGTACGTCAACGGCGTGTTGTCCGCGTCGCGGAAGCGGCTGTACGGCCGCATGATGCCTTCGTTTGTGAATTTGCGAATGAGACCGCCATTGTTGTACACCGCGACGGCGATCTCGCGCAGCGCCTGCGAGGTGTAGCGGCGCTGCCTCGGCTTCATCACCAATGTAAAGGCGTAGAACACCATCCTCCCGCCACTCAGCGCTTTCCACGTGCTGGTCCGCCGCTCTCTTCAATATTGCGCCGCGACCTCCCGCAGTCGCCACACCAACGGCCCCCTTCTTTTACTTTCAGTAGAAGCAGCAAGAGGGGAAAGAAAAGATGGCACATGAGACGAAACAACACAAAGCAGCGAGCGGTGCACCAACACACCGCCGCAACCGCCCGCCCCCCTCCCCGATAAAAAAAAAATACGCACAGACGAACAGACACCCAAATCCACTTGATCTGACACATCGTGCATACACAAATGCTCCACCACAAGCCCATAATGGTATCGGCAGCCACTAGTTTTTTTGTCTCCTTTTTTTTTTTGAGGAGTGTTTTAGGATGGCAAGGATGGCGCCTCGTCCAGCAGAATACGTAGCTTCCGCGGGTCAAGATCACTCACGGTCAACGACGCCTCGCTGAAATCGGCATCAACACTAGGCAACTGCTGCTGCCCAAGTTCAAGCAGACGCGTGTAACGCGTCTCGTACACGTCGCAGAGTTCCCGTACAACGCCCCGCATTACCTGCTCTCGCAGTCGAGGAAGGCGCAGTGCGGCAACTAGGGGGACATATACATGACCCGATGCCGCCACAACGCTGTAGAAGCCGCTGAGCTGCGCAATGATAGTTGCCGCGTCGAGCTGCTCACCGTCGGCGTCTGCATCTCCTCTACCCATCCCCCCACCCATGTTGCTAATTCTGCCCACGTCGTCGCCACCAGAGACTGGTGTTGCCATAGCACTGCGTAGTCGCTGATGGAAGTAGTGTCGCACAGCACACTTTGAAAGGCTTGCTATCAGTTCATTCGCAAGCTTCTGGATGCGCTCTGAGACAACATCTGAGAGGGGTGTCGTGTGGCCTGCCGCTGCATTGCCGAGTGCAAGTAGGTTCAGGTGCGGAGCGAGCGTCTCCTGCAGTGCAGCCATGGTGTTGAGCTGTAGCGTCAACTTGCAAGGTTCATCGAGCGCATTGCTTATGGTGGGCTGCCGCGCAAGCACAATCGGGAATGATAGCACGTGCTGCACAGGCACAGTGAAGAACTGCTCATAATACAACGGATGGTTTGCAGCAATGTTTTCTTCGTTCGCAGACTTCTTGGAAAGCATGAGACGCACAGACTCCATAATCTCTGCATGTTTCTCCGCCTCAACCATAGTGGACTGCAGAACGCGCAGACACTCCTCAACCTCCGGTGGTGTCGGCAAAATCATGGTGTATAGTGTCCGCAGCAGATCGGCCGCCTGGGCCTGGTGCTTTGATAAACCGCTGCGGTGGTACGGGTTGGTGGTGGTGCTGGAAATGCTAAGACTCTGGCCCCTGACGTTAGACGGGGTCTCTCTCTCAGATGACAATTGTGGTGACACCTGCCGCTGCATATCGTCGTGAAGAGGAGCACTGTCATTCTCTTTATCCTCCTCCGCCGCATGATCGAAAAGAAAATCAGTGACAAAATACGTCGCCCTATCACTTTTCTTCGTGCCATCTTCTACCGCCAACATTGCCTCGGCAGACGCGAGACGACGCAGTACCGCTGAGCGACTCGCAACACCTGCCACACTGTCCAGCGCATGTTCGGCCAGCTGTTTAGCAATTGTATGATATACACGCAGTAGCTGCAGTTTGGAGTCGTTTGCCACAAGACGCGTAAGCGCTGCCTCGCTTCCCAGAAGCGCAGTGAAAGTGCTACAATTGTAATAGGTGAAGAGTTGGAGGAGTGTATGAGCCGTGCGCAGACCGTTCGTCAAACCCATGAGCGTCGATGCCACAAGCGCCTCCTGTTGTGAACGGTTCATCAGGTGCTGGTAGCGCTGCGCGCCCTCACCCGCGTCGGACGTCAATGATACAGTTCGCCCTGTCGCTGCCGTGAGCAACCGCTTGATGCCGCCAGTAAGACCGATTGGTCCAGATGGACCCGTCGATGCGCCTGCACCACTGCCACTACCCCCAGCGCCGCCACCACTGCTGCTGTTGTCGCCATCGTGAAGACTCGACGAAGCGCGGAGAAAACGTTCAAGCACACCGTCAAGTACACTTTGAATGTGTTTGCACAGCACCTCAAAAATAGAATCAAGCACGGCGGCCTTGCTAACAGGGAACGCTGTTTCGCCATTGCCATCCAACGCATCCTCACCCACCATCGACGGTACTGCCAATGCACCGGGTTCACCATCTCGAACAGAAGCCGTCTCCTTGTCGGTTGATAACGCTGTTGTTGCATCATCTGCCACCAGCGCTGGTGGCGCAAAAAAAGCGGTGAAGAAGTCATCCTCGTCGACAATCACTTGATGAAGCCAAGCGAAGAGCGAACTGAAGAAAAAGACGGGGTTGCTGATCTCTGCTTCCAGCGCGCGCACCCCGCCAGTGCTTGGTGCCCTGTCACGCCTGCCACCTGCTCGGTATGTACCGGCCAATGTGGTGGAGGAACCTGTCGTCATGAGGTGGAAGTACTGCCGCAGCACCGCCGCCCGCCGCAGCCGCGCCACCTCCTCTATCACCGCTGCCCACTGGCTAATGTTCTCCTCACGCAGAAACTGCACACAGCGCAGATAGAAGCTCGTCAGCTCCGGGGCATCGCTGCCGCCGAATCCTGCCGCATTTGCCGTGGAGCCTGGTGCTGCTGCGGACGCAGACATCAAATAGCGCGCGACCTTCTCGGACCCTTTCATTATAGCACTGTACGTGATGTCCATCACAGCAGCTGCACTTTGATAATGCTCACGTGACAGCAGCAACTCACGGCACTTGCGGTGCGTCACCTGCGCCCGCTGCAGAACATCTAGGTAGGCAGAGTCGACGGGACTCTCCTCGAGGATAGCCTGTTCCTCCGCAGCAAAGTGGTACTTTTCCTGAAACTCCCGCATTTCCTTCTCACGCTGCTGCACCAGTGAGAGCTCTGCCTGCAGTGTAGTCATGAGACCGACATATTCCTCCGCCTGCGCAGCGTGGGCATCGAGTGCGGTCTGCAGCACACCACTTTCCTCATTAAGTTTTGACACGAAATCCGATGCCTCTTCAAAAACCTCATTGAGGGTCGACCATTCTTGCAAAAAATAACGATGAAGATCAATTACACGGCCTTCCAAAGCTGTGCGCAGCGTCGTGGAAGAAGAAGCAACTGCGATACCGGTGTGTTGCAGTGGTTGTGATTGTTGTCTTTGTTGTGTAGAGGTCTTCTCCACCTCAGAAATCGAAGAATCATCGGGTGGTGGCAACAGACTCTCTAGGAACTCTGGCACTGCGTCGTTCATATATAACACAAGTTCTCGAAAGTTATCATTAACGGTAATGTCCAGCAACTTCTGCACTTTGCGGCTTGTTGCAAAATTACGTGTGGATGAAGAAGGAGGACCACCCTCTGTAGCAGCTATGCTGGCATTATCCGTCACACCCCCGACAGCGATGCCCCCAATCGGTGCTGTAATTCCGTTGGCAACACCGGTAGCTGGAACGGCAGTAGTAGTAGTGGTAGCAGTAGTGGAAGCCAGACGTGGATTCACTGGAGCTCCCCCTTGAGTAATAGGAGTTACCTCTGTGCTTGCAGCTGATGATACTGGCGCTTGGTAAGACGAGGTCACTGCACTGCTACCTGGATGTGGTTGCGCAGCGTGCCTTGCTCGTGTCTCTGGAACAGGCACTCCCTCCATCAAAACAACCTAGCAAGTCACTCAATAAGTGGTGCACCTTTGGGCTCTTTTTTTTTTTATCCCCGGCCCTCGTGATGGCTTAAATATATATATATNTATATATATATTTATTTATATATATGTGTGCTCTGATTAACTTGTTTCGTGTTTCACACTATATCCGACACGAAGCACATTTTAGAAGGAATGGGAGAGAGATTATCACACAGACCTCAATGCAACGCTGGTGCAGCAGCGTGCCGGATCATAAACACATTTTTTTGTACGATTCGTCAAACGGACAACTTCCTTTGGCGGACCCATTTGTTTCATTTCAATTTCTGTTCTGTTTTACCCGAAGTCTCCCGCCTCTCTTTTTTGTGTAGTGTTTCGTCACTGGCCAACACACGCACACACTCTCAGCGCAAGCGAAGAACAGAACAGACGGTTATTTTTTTTTTGTTTAATCAAATGGGGAAGAGACATGGGGAGAAACGGACGCCCTAAAAGAGATCAAGGCGGAACGTTCCACTCGCCGCGAGCGGCGCCGCACGCGTGTGACGCACACTGTAGTTGTTGCTGCTGCTGTCACCAAAGCGGTCGTCAAGCGCACGCTTCACGCGGCCCACAGCAGAGCCCGAAGGGGCAGTGACCGAGGCGTCGCAGCGGTCTAGGAGGAGACTGAAGGATGTTGTGCCGAGCGGGACCGGTTTGCCTACGATAATGCTCTCGGACACACTGAGGTTCTCGTCGACCCGCTGCGTCGCACCGGCGCTGTAGAGGTGGTCAGTTGTACGCTCGAAAGACGCCATTGTAAGCACGTTGAAGTTCATCTTCTGAATGCCGTAGCGTGTGATGCCGAGCACCGATCCGCGCTGCGTCATGAGGTCAGCAAGCAGGTACACGTGCCGCACATCGATGCTGAGGCTGTACGCCTGCAGGATGCCCTGGATCTCGCTTACTATCACCTGCCGCGCCGCCTCAATGCCGAGGACGCGCTCCACCACCGCGACGTGGTTGCAGACGACGTGTGTCGACTCCACGTCGGGAAGATTCATCACCGCCCGAAGCTCCGCCCCCTCCGCGAGCACCTCCGCCCCGCTGGAGGAAATCATCGCGCGGTTGATGCCAGCGATTCCACCTACCACAACGTCAGGGAGCAACGTGAGGAGGTTGCGAAGGCTGAAGTGCACGCGCTGCGGCTCTAGGAAATATGGGTACACAGCGAGGGTATCAAGGCTCATTACCTCTACACAGTCCTCCCGCAACAAACGCAAAGGCGACATGGGCCGCGCCGCAGCAGCGAGAATGCGTTGTCGCACCGTGACGGCGTTAATTGGCAGACGCAACTTTGTAATGACAGACATATTAAGATGCACACGAAGATAAAACTCAGAGGCTGAGCAAACCTCCACAATCTCCGATGTCACCTCTTTCAACAACACCCGCTCCACCTGCGCCTTCACACCACGTACGCGTTGTTCAAATGCTTCTGATGACTCTTCTACAAATGTTTCTTCGTTGTGTGACCCATTCTTCGCCTGAGGAAGCCGCAACCGTCGCACTGGAGCCGTGACGACTGGTGTCGCGATGTTGCGGTTCGCATTAATAATCTCAACGAGTCGCGGCACACCTTGTGTGATACTCATACTTGCGACACCAGCAAAGTGGAAGGTACGCAGCGTCATCTGGGTACTCGGCTCACCGACCGACTGTGCCGCAATAGCCCCACATGGGGTACCTGGCTCACATGCCTTGCGAAGGTATTTGCTACCACACTGCGCCAGGAAGCGTGCCACCATACCCCGTGTGAGCGGCAGCAACTCCGTCTGAAGTGTCTCCAGGAGTCGCAGCTCAGCAGGACTATCTTCTTTTGAGGTAGATTCATCAGCAGTGTGTGTAGTTGTTCTGTGTCGCTTTCGAGAGGTGGAGGAGAGCTCCAGCAAAGTACGTATCCGCTCTTGTTCCTTCACTTTTCTTGAAAAAAATTTCTCAACGTCCTCCTTAAACTTCATGCTACTCACACCTGCAAGGTTGGCAATGAGCGCCGCACGTCGTGCCCGTTTATGTTGCTCTTCGCCCAACTTCCCTTCTCCCCCCTGCACCCCTCGTAGCTTTCTCCTCAAGTCTTCCTGCTTCTCCTGCCGCTCACAAGTCGCTAACACAGCTGGTGCACCGTCCAAGCACGCCCTGACAAAAGATAGTACTTCTGTGGGGAGCAGCGAGATGGCCTCATCATTTTCGTCGTCCACCTGATTTGCTCGCTTCTTGTCGCGTCGGCTATTGTGGCCACCGCTACTCTCGTTGCTGCTTCCACGCTCCTCAACAAGCCACCTCGCGTACGCTGCACGAACACTGAGCCACTCCTGATCCAGGTTCAACGGAGTGCCATTAACACCTTCCATGAGCTGCGGATCTAGCCCATCCTCGCCAAACTTGAGCTGCACCACATCACCCTTTGTGTTACGTACCGTTCCGTCATACCGCACGCTGAGGTTCTCCATCGCCTTCATGAGACGGCGGTAGATATAGCCAGTCTCGGCTGTCTTGACAGCTGTATCGACAAGTCCCTCACGCCCAGCCATTGTGTGGAAAAAGAATTCTGTTGGCGTTAAACCCGAGTAGAACGAGTTTGCTACGAAGCCACGCGCATTTGGGGCCTCTTCAGCACGGTAGAAATGCGGCAGCGATCGGCCCTGGAATGCATTCAAAATACGCTTTCCACTCACAGTTTGCTGACCCACACAGGCCATCATCTGAGCAATATTCAGCGCACTTCCCTTACTGCCAGACTGCACCATCATGAGCGGTGTGTTCGTGTCCACGGAGAGCGTCTCAACAGCCGCTGTACCACATTCGTCACGCACCTTTGACAGTTCCGCGTTAAGGCGGGCCTCTAGTGATTGTCGTACGGTAAGACCGGGTAGTGGCTCCATACGCCCCGTCTTGGCCGCCTCGATCAGTTGGTTGCACTTCTCAAAAGAGCGGGCGAGCACGGCAGCCTTCTGCTCGTTCAGCTGCGGCGTCGGTGCAACATCGCCGAGGCCAAGGCTGAAGCCATAGTTCGACAGGTAACGTGACGTGAACTGTGCGATGCGGGACATAATGCGGGCAGTGTAGGCGCCGCCAGCCAGCGTGTGCAACCGCGCAAAGAGTCCGTCTTTAGCGCCACCACCTAGCAACTTCTTGTCGAGACGGCCCGAAATGAAGCAGGAGTCAAGGAATGCCACATAGCCCTCCGCAGAACAGTCGTACTTGTCGCGCTTGCTGTAGAACTTCGCTGTGGCCTCCAGGTTAAGCAGAACGTCAATGCCCGGTGAGGGACGCAGAATGAGCTCGAACAGCTGCTTGCCAGTCCACAGCTCTGCTGGCTTGAGAATCGCCGGCACCGGCAGACGGAATTGCGTCACCGGACCGAGCCAGTAAGACACCATCTGCGACATTTGTGAACGATCAAAGAAGACATCACGTGCTGTCACAAGGTACGCTGCGGCAAGAAAGTCCTGTGTGCATGCGATAATAGGCTCGCCATTCTTTGCTGTGATGATGTTTTTGGCAGTTGACATCAACTGGAAGGCTTCTGCCCGAGCCTCCTCCGTCTGCACAAGGTGAACATTCATCTCATCGCCATCAAAGTCCGCGTTATACGGGGCACAGCAGCACTCGTTGAAACGGAATGTACGGAATGGTAAAACACGTGCGCGGTGAGCCATCATGGAAATACGATGCAGCGACGGCTGACGATTAAACAGAATTACGTCACCGTTCATCACATGCCGCTCAACAATGTCACCAACGGCCAATCGCGCTGACAATGCCTCGCGATCACGTTCGTTGTTGAGTGATTTCCTCGATCCCTCCTGCGCAAGGAATACCGTGACGGCTCCCGGGTGCACACGAGGCCCATTACGCACGAGACGGCGCATGAGATCCAAGTTTGACTTGAAGACGCGTTGAGGGTACGTCAGCACCCGGGCCACGCGTAGCGGCACAGCCAGCTCATCCACGTCAAGATTCGGGTCAGGGGAAATGACAGAGCGGCCGGAAAAGTCCACACGTTTTCCGCTTAGGTTCCCACGGAACCTGCCATGCTTACCCTTGAGGCGTTGTGCGTACGACTTCATGTCGGCGGTGCGCATGTGCGGTGGAAATCCTGGCAGGGCAGAGTCGAGCAGCCGCGCCACACGCATCTGCAGCATCTCCCAGGTCTCTGTGTACTTGGTGGCGTCGAGGGATCCGTCCTGCAGCGTGTCGGAGCTGACGAGAATGTCGTTGTACTGCGCCGTGAGGTCGTCCTCGCGCACTGTCGCGGTACCTGCTGTGCCGCGCGGCCGCGCCGGGACAGGGGGTACCAGCAGCGTCGTCACAAGAAGGTCGACGGGACTTGCACCGGGTAGCAGGCCCAGCAGCAAAACTTCGTCTGGTGGAACCGCGAGGAACAGCTGCCGTACCCGTGCTGGGTCAAGAAAGTCGTGCACATGGTCTTTGCTCTCCTCCACGACCTTGTTGTATGCACACGCCGTGCGAAGCTCGCTGTCAAAGAATGTCTCTGGACTCTCAACCGACTCTTCCCCGCGACGGAGATCGACTCTGTACTTCTCGTGCACAAGCCGCAGCGGGCGCACGCGCCGCACCACACCATTCAGCCCACCGCACTTGAGACAGACGCGTGTTTTGTAGGCATCTGTTTGCACGGCTTTAATAAGCGCTGCACGTTGCAGGGGCTCTAGTTTCGTGGACGAAAGCCGCCGTTTATAATATTCAATTTCCGCATCGTCCAAGAGCACATGGGAGCAGCGCTTGCAGATAGTACGACAGATGCGCAAAATGGTCGAGAAGAAGCCAAGGTGAAAGACGGGCGCTTCGAGGTCGATGTGACCGGGGTGACCGACGCACTCCATGCTGCGCAGCCCACACGTCGCGCAGACGGACATACGGTCGCACACACCGAGGTGGGCATCGTTCACGCCGTACTCCTTCACCGCCCCAATGACGCGGCGACAGGGGAGAACAGAGAGACGGTGAATGTCGCGGCGAGAGAGAAGACCGTAGCGCAGCGCACTTATCTCAACCGGTGCATTTGGTAACGGCTCGACAAATTGCTGCGGGAGAAGCAGAGGAGCAGCAGCAGCACCCGCAGTGCCCCCGCCTCCACGCATCTCGGGGCGATCGCACTCACTTTGGGCTCAACTGTACGGTGTGCAATTTCGGTTCCCGCACTGTTCGCGCGTAGATACACCTGTGGGCGCCGCCACACCAGTGTGTGTGTGTGTGTGTGTGTGTTTGCTGCAGCGACGAGATGAAGGAACAGAGGGAAGAAGAAAAGAAAGAAAAGCCAAACCAAAGAAGGGATAAAAAAATGCAATGAAACCATTCACAGCCACATATTTATGCGCCCCCTTCGAAGCCGCGTCGCAAAAAGGTTAGCAATGCCAATGCCTGGCATGTTCATTGCTTTTTTTTTCTTTTTTTTTCTTCTCTTAACAGCGAGCAGCACTACTATTCCTTCTCCTCTTCCACCTTCTGCGCGCTCTTAGATGAATTAAAGCACGTGTTCGCTCACGCATGCCGAAATCCGCACCCTCTCACCCCCACTCTCTTCTGCACACGCACCACATCACTCGGCCATGGTGAACCGCATCGTCCATTACAATCCACCGTCCCCTCCTACCGCACGGTCGACTGTCTGTGTGCCACTCAGCGTACAAGTACACAGACATGCCTACCAGCATGCGGAAAGTTCGAAAGAAAAAAAAATCGAGCGAGAAAGAGCGAAGCCAAGAGTGGGAGATGGCGGAGCCACACCTACAGCCTTCCTTTTACGCCTTCCCTGTAAGCCACGCAACGAGCGGCGCCGCCTTCTTTTTCATCTCGGCATCTGCCGCAGGCTCCACCTTCGAGACTGGCGTGGCGTTACCACACCACTCCTCGATGGTTGTGCTATTCAGCACGCCCTCAGTGAAGAGAAGGAAGAGCAGCACAACCATCTTGTCAGGGTTGAGGCGCTTGGCGCAGAGACGAGCGCATTCATCAATAGTGGCGTTTTGCAGCTGCTTCTCACGCTTCAAAAGCTCAGTCTTAACAGACTCGTCGGTGGCGGCGTCGAGCAGGGAAGCGTCTGCAAGGGTGGAGAAGCGCTTCAGTAGGCGCGAGTGGCGGCGTAGACCCGCCATGAACTCCTTCTCCGCCATGATGATAGCATTCAGCACAAGCAGGGGGCCCATCTTCTCCTTGAGGTTGTAGCTCGACATGAGCTCCATGCAGCGGCGCATAGTTTCTTCATACTCATCTGGGTGCTGCCGCATGTGACGCGCGAGTACGTCCTGGGGCGGCTCACGTGTGTCTTCCAAGTCCGACCGCTGCACTACCGTAGTCCCTGTATACGCAGGGGCTTCTGCCGCTGCTGCCGCTGCCGCCGCAGCCGCTGTGGCCGCTGCTGATGCTGTTTGTTGGCTGCTGTCAGCTCCACGAGCTTCAGCTGTACCAGCACCCTTCTTGTGGAGCATCTGGGGGTTCTTGGCGAAGTAGGAGACAAGCGCCGTCACGTAGCGAGCGTCAAGATCCGTAAGCTTCATTACTTTACCGCATGCCCCGCAAGAAAGGCTAATTTGTGGAACGCCCTTTTTGTTACGCTCAACCAGCAGCTGCGTCTCAGGGTTGCGGCAGCTGCGGCAGAGGACAAACTTGCGGATAAAGTCATACACCTTCTCCTGCACACGCTCCTCCGTGTGGCTTCCCATGATAAGGAACTTGTCATCCTTCTCTAGCACCGTACGTTGCGCGCCAATCTCGGACTGGAAGAACTTCATGAGTACCTCCTCCGGTCTGTTAATGGCGAGGCACACATCGTGGATATTTGGGAAGACGGTCTTGATGCCATTACCGCTGCCCTCCACCTTGGTCATGATGGCAGGCATCTTGTAGCGGTAGTAGATATCGTCCCTTTTCTCGGGATCGATGGGGATCATCGGAACCGACATGGCTGTTGTTTCCTTTTCTTTCTTAGTGGGGGATTCGCTTGACTGCGCGCTGCTCAAACGGGAGGCGGCGAGGAAACAGTATACACAGTAGAAGGAAGGAAAAGAGAAAGAGAAAGAGAAAGAGAAAGAGAGACGGAGATAAAAAAAAAAGCGTTGTGGGTGCACGCACGTATGCAGGAGGGAAAACACACACACACACGCAACCGAGAGCAAGTAAAAGGCCGCGCGTCTGCGCGAGAAAGAGGAACCACAGAAAGGAGAAGAGCGCGAAACGCTCAGCTAAAAGCGTTTCTCCAACTCCTCCAGCAACGCCTCCGCGTCGCCGCACGCCTGCAGCATGTGCTCCAGCGACGCGGGGCTTATGACCCCTGCCTCCGTCTCGCCGCGTGCAAAGAGTGCCTCGAATCGCGCGCGTAGCTCTGGCGTTAACGAGTCGTGGCAGTAGTGCGCAACAAACTCCATCGCCGTTGCCGCGTCCATGTTGCTCATGTGCACCACGAACGTCAGCACACCTGGCTGCCACAAAGCGGCGGGCAGCCGTTGCGGGTGGTTTGTCGTTAGGACCACCACGCGCCCCGGTGGTGCGTAGTCTGCTTCAAGGGCGCGCAGCACCCCTTCCGCTGAGAGAGAGTCACTCTCGACCCGCTTCTGGTATGAGCGAACCACACTGAGGTCACCATCAGCACTACACGTCTCTGCCACTACCTTCCCCTCCCCTTCCTCGCCTTCCCCTTGCTGTCGCTGTTCTTGTTCCTCGTTGCACGCATTATAATCGCCGCCAACATGAACACCAGCAGAAGCAGCAGCTGTGGTGGCCAGTGAAACAGCGACATCTTTCCCCTCATGGCTTTCCATAAGTGGAACTCTCGGGGATGTGCCACGGTGTTGCTCCGAAGGCAACTGCAACGACAACATGTCCGCCAACAAATCAAAGTCCTCCAGGGCATACACGACCTGATCCACAGGTAGATCACAACTCAACGGCATTTCGCAGGACCCCCATGGTTCGTCTAAGCAATCGTCATCACAGCCCTCAAACTGTGCCCCTCCATGAAGTAACGCTGTTCCACCGGAGAGCACCTCCTGCAGCGTGCCGTTTGTTTGAATGAATTCAATTGGTATCGCAACGATGTGCCGATTGAGGAACTTGGCTATACTGCGCAAAGCGGTAGTCTTCCCTGTACCTGGTGCACCATGTAGGAGAATGACCAACTGATGTGGCACACCCGGAACCGCAAACCTACCTCGCTTTTGCTGGAAGTCTTCAAGAATACAGAGGAGCTGCGACTTCTGGCGAAAGAAGAGCGAGTGGAAGCTGTTCCTTCCATCGGGGATCGGGAACCGCAACATGTGAAGTCGTTGTGAAACATCACTGGGCTCGTACACCTCCCACGCCACTGCTTGCTGCATCTCGGTGTTGGCAGGATAGAAATAGTAGCGCTCCACAGGCGTTGTCACAGTGGGGTAGTACCACGCATAAGCGCGACTGGCAAAGTCCATGATGCGTTCTTTTCCGTCTCTGGGGTTGTCTGTGCACTGCAGCACCGCTTGACGCACAATTGTATTCTTCGCACACCGTGCCATACCAGTCTCAGATACCGTACCGTCTGTCAGCGGCTCCTCACCCTCCTCCTCGTCGGCGTCACGACTATCGCCGTCGCTCTTGGTGCTTCTGGTGTCCACCAAGTCGCGCCTGGTCGGGTGAATGTCGAAGTTTAGCGGGGGGAACCTATTCAGGTCGCCCTGCTCCGCACGACGCGGGAAAACCTTGCCCGCCTTCAGCGTTGCGGTCGGCACTCTCTGCTGCTGGAAGCACACTGTGAGACCAGGCTCCACCTCCAACACGTGGCCCTCTGCCGGCAACAACAGGAGACGATAGTGGCGTCGCAGAGTGCCCGCCAAATCCCCGCGGTTGGTTCCATCTGGCGCACATACCGGTACGAAGCGATAATCTGCCATGCGGAGCTGTCGCGACGACAATTGGAGGGCATCATTGTCATTGGCCCTGTTGGTGCTCTCACTGTATTTCGACTGCTGCTGCTGCTGCTGCTGCTGGAGTAGCCCCACATCAGTGTGAAGCAGGTGCGAGACGTACCGTTCCAGTGCGGTCACTAGCAGCTCATTGTCAAACGCAAACTCCTCCGGTTGATGCCTGAACACATCAACTGCCGCCCCGTCCTTCGTGTTGCTCCGGTCCAGGAATCTTCGCACCCACCTCGCCACCCACGCTGGCCATGTCTCTTTCATAAAACGGTAGAAGTGCCGTGCCGCAGCCGCAAGAAACAACGCCACCGTGATATCCACAATGCCATTAAACATGCGACTTGTAGTAATCCCTTCACTACCGCTGTTTCCTACCACCGCCTGAAACATGTTAAAGGCAGTGGTAGCACTCGTGAGTGGAAACGGCGTTGTCTCATCAAGCTCCACAGCAAAGCGTTGGCTGTCCATCCACGAGAACAAGCTCATAATGCAGCTTCTCCTTTAGAATGCAGTACAATCTTCTTGACGACAGGTCTATACGTGTACGCGCAGGTGAGGATGTACGTGCCCTATTCAGATCAATGAGACGTATATAATACTTCCTCGCCCATCTCACCGACCCACGAGCGAAAGCGATAACAAACAACAGGAAGAACGACAGGCATCTGTACAAGTAATGTGCATCTTCCCGACTTCTTCACAGACCCATATGAATAGAATCCATTTCTTCTTTTTTTTTGTTTTGCCTTGTTTCATTTTTTGGTTGGCTTAGTGTGGGAAATTACGTGTTTTCTTTTTATTACACTTCGGTGAAGTTGAGGAATTGTGTCGAGCGACAATTTCACTACCGATCCCTTTGGCTCTGCAGCCCGCGTGCCGAACGCACCCGCGGCAAAAACACCTTAGCGACAAGCAGCGGGAACACCAGCGAAACCTCAGCGTACACCTTCACGAAGTCTGCATCAAGGCGCAATTTACCCCACGACACCGCTTCGTCTGGTCGTGCCCCGGCGTCACTGCCATCAAACTCCTGCCCGTTGTTGATGAACACCGCGCCATCGGTCCCGTTGCGCATGAGATTCGCATTGCAAACGTGATGCTTCACAACACCACCTCCAAGGACAATAATACCAGTCCGCCGGCTGCGCATTGCAAGCCTGTTGATACGATGAATATCTGGCACAAGGTCCAATTTTAGCAGCGGCGCTGCGGATTCCCCCGCTTCGAGTATAAACTGCATGATGTCACCGTCCACAAACGATGGGGAAAAGACAGGTAAGTCGTTCTTGGCCGCCCAGTAGAGAACGGTACTCTCCGCGCGCCGCATCCCCTCATCGGCAACCACTTCCTTTTGCACCGCGCGCACCTCAGCTAGTGCCTCCGTGAACAACTCTGGTAGCCAACGCCCGGCCACGTACCACAGCATGCTGGGTGTAATGGTCCAGGAGCAAATATCCTCGTACACTGGTGGAATTGGCTGTGAAGCAGAGAAAGCTTTACGTTGCTGTTGCACCGCTACAAGGCGAACCACCAGGCGGCGCATAACGGCTGTAAAAAGCGAGGATGGTGGCTGATCATTGTCACAGTCGTACGCGACATTTCCAAACCGAGCTTCTGTTGTTCCTTTTTCTAATGGAACCTGCTGCTGCGTGTGCTGTCTCTCCCCCGGTGCCTTCCCATCCTTGTTTTCACACAAAAGTCGGTAAGGCTCGCAAGCGCGACGAATGTCGTGCTCCATCGCACCGCCACTCACAACTAGCACATGAATGAGTGCTTTTGAAGCAAAGGACGGTGTGGGAATACCGCTCATGTCATCAACAACCGGTGCCACCACCTCATCTGGCAAGGCCGCCGGCTCCACGCCCTCCGGCAACGGGACACACTCGGCACACAGGAATCGAATCGCTTCCCTGCACCCAGTGCCAAACAGATTTGCAGTAACACCAAGAAATATGGTCGGCTGAACCCGCACCTCTGGCGTCAGCGCCTCATCCACAGGTATGGCGCACCCTCCGTCTAAGGGTGGTGGCGCCTTTGATGGAGGCTGCGCCTGCAGCATCTTCTCGCAAATCGCAACCGCCTGGGCAAAATGGGAAGCCTGATAGCCCATTGTTGCGTACTGCTGCAGAGCCGTAGAAACGGACTGCAAGTCATTCTGGGAAGGACCGCTGACCGGCTGAAGTCTGTCAATCGGGATTTCCGAAGAGGACGATGGAACGAGGACGGCTTCTCGTGCCAATTCCGCCATTTCCTCCTACCGCTATAAATCTTCGTCACATTAAGTCAATGAGAGAGTGTGGGGTGGGTACGTGTATGAAGAAGTGAGGATGGGAGACAACACCACAAAAAAAATTTGAAGGTCAATTGAGGAGAAAGGAACAAAATCGGTGCTTTACAGGGGCACGAACAACAGACAGCACCAAACCAGACAATAAATCCAGCGTCCACAAAAACAAAGAGACTCAAGAAGGAGCCATGGAGAGTACAAATTTCCAATCAACAAACAAGAAAAGAAGTCGGCATCGCAAATAAAAGCCAACTACTCCCTATCAAAAACATTTTCTCAGCTTATCCATACAAAACCCAGCATCAAGAAGAAAAAACTATCTCCCTTAACGGGTCATAGACCTCAAAGTCCGCGTCGACTAAAGAAAGAACCAAAAGACAACAGCAAAACAAATGTGAAATCATAGCAAAAACGGTATCGTTTCATAGAGTCAGTATCACTTGCAACAACAACGAAAAAAAAAAACAAGGATGCGTTGCATCCTCAGAGACTGTTGGCAGTCCAGAAAAAGACCGATCCAACTACGCCCCCTTGGCTGCTCTCAATTCTTCCATATGGGACTGGCCCTTGAAGCTCACTTTAAGGTCGTCTAATGGAATGCCTGGAGGTGGGCGCTCCTCCCCACAGACGCGTTCCAATGCACTTGTGCAATAATCAAGGCCTGTTTCGCAGAATCTGACAATCCCAGTGTACGCGATGCTGCTGTTAGGCCCACACTCGTATTTTGCTTCCAAGCCATGGACAGAGTTGCAATACTTACAACACAAATAAAAAGTTACCGAGGAGCAAGGCAGAGATGCGCCACGCTATCCCCAGGAGAATATCGCACCATCGAGGAAGAAGAAGCATTGCAAGTGATCGTCACACACCAGAGATATTATACTCTGGTACATCATCCAGCAGACTGCGCAGAAACAGGCATGAAGCCGTGGTGGCAATCGCGAGGATTCGAAGGTTCCACAGCCTTCACCCTGTGGACAAAACAACCAACAAACCCTGGAAGAAGCGAAACGCAGAGCGCACTCCGGCTGGCCTCATCACCAGCACTTCCGCACAGCACTCCGCGCCACGCAGGTTATATTAACGCCAGTTGCCGCTTAAAGCATGATGCTAAATGCAACGAACGTTATACCAAATCAGCGCTCGATCCTACCACCATCCGCATGGGGAGGAGGGGGGTGACCCAACGACAGTAAGTACAGTGGACAGTGACGCACGCGTTCGGTTGATCGTCACAATATTCTTCGGATCAATGTGACGACTGCCAACAGACACGGCCTTTTACTGGCCGAATCTATGAACACCTGTATGGTCTTCGTGCGGGACACATGTCACGCCTCCACCTGCGACCTCAACGAGTAAATAGCAACGATCTGCAGCCTCCTCTTGTCCAGCGGTGTGGCAAAATTTTTTTCCTCTCTGGTGCGCTCTAGCACCTCGCCAAAAAAGATTTCCCCCTTTTCTGGTGTCCCGATTGTTTTTAAGATCCTCATTTCAATCTGCCGTCACTTTGCGTGGAGTCACACCAGTCAGCAAATACCCAACCGCACTGGAGGGTTTTGTTCTTGAGCGCCTCGCTGACAACGCCGCTGAAGACGTACTACGCCCGTACCTCTGCTATGGGGGAGATGGCAGCGATTCCCTCCTTCTCATTGGTCTCCACTTCCTTTCGGAACTTCTTCCACAACCCGTCGAGTGCCTTGTTTGAAGTTTGGAAGCTGCACGCGCAGAATCCACTTCCTTCTTGCAGGTAGCACTGGGTGTCTTCTGCAGGCGTGTGGGCATCTGGCTCAATGGCGTCTCTTCAGACGGTGCCGTATTGCTCCCGCCGAGCATAGTTTTGCTTCGTGGGCTCGCGTGCCTGTGGCATGTGCGCGCCAGGAAGAACGCAAAGAGAAAGCGAAACCACAGAAGAAGAAGAAAAAACCGTGCCTCTACGAGCAGAAAAAGCACATGCACACACACACGGCGAGAGAGAAAAAGAAAGGAACAGGTGCAACACATGACATTACATGCATGATATTTTGTCTCATCGTTCTGAAATAATCTCTCCCTCTTGTCCAGAAGCATTTATCTTGCGAGGGTGTTCCGCCTCCTCTCCTTGGGAAATGAGGAGGTACCCAGCGTCTAGCATTTCTCTCTGCCATTGCTGCTACTGTCGTCTGGGGCACAAATTGTGCACATTCCACTTTCCATCACGTTGCTTGGTATTTCATTCTCGAGATTCTTTCCTCTCGACTCCTCGCCCTCACTCCCAGTATTTGTCCATCGCCGGCGATTCGCCTCTACCAGCAGTGTTGGGCGAAGCAGAACGGCTCTCTCCCTCCCAGTCCTCGCTTTTTTTTTCTGCGTCCCGTGGCGTTTCCTCTGTCTGACCAACACTCCACATTTCACCGCGGCGGCAGCAACACAGGAATACAAAAAAAAAAAAATGAGGAAGCGGTGGAAGAAGAATAGGCCCGGGCCCGATAACAAAGGAAAAAAGAGAACGGGGGCTAAAGAAGTACGGATCAACGAGGGCGGACGGGAAAAACGGGTCCCATTCAGAACAGGAACTCGAAGAGAAATACAACAACAAAAGAGGCTTTGGGGGTGGGAACCAAAAAAAAAAAAAGAAATATTATGCTTGCAACTAACGTACTCTGTCTCCCTATATCATTTTGCATCTTCGTATTTTCTTTTGCGTGGCTTTCGATTTTTCCATTTGACAACTCTCGCACAAATACCTTCCACATACTATATATATTGCGCCCACTGCAGATGTCCCCGTGTGCAGTGGACGCGGCCCGTCCGCGCCCCGCACACCATAGGACCTCAACGCACAGGCCCCCCCCGCCGCAGTCGGAGAAATAAAGGCTTCCGAATTCCCAGCAGCCGCGTGGAAGGCCCTGAAGAGCATGTCGTATCGAGAGGGGGCAAAACCTTATTGGTTCTGTTTCAGAAAGATCACACCGCGCGCCCCGGAACGTGCATATAAGCGGGAAGAAAACCGAAACAAGAAAAAAAAAGGGAAAAATGGAGGGGGAAGACGAAGCGCCTGTGGGCGTAGGGCAATTCTGTGTGACTGGAAACGTAAATAGAGCGGCGACGCAACCTTTGTTTTCCGGAAAAGATGTGCTGCGATGCGATTTGCGCTGTTCCGCTCTCTTGCGTCCCGTCCCCGTAGGCAAGTACACCAAAGAGAATGCCCAACACAAGGGAGCACGCGGCAACGTGTTGCAACCACACACCTCTAGCGCCGCAGCACCAGCGTCACAGCCCCCGGCTCTTGCGTGTCCACCGACGCCATCCGCCTTCCCAGCGCCACGCGTGGATGGCCCTGCGGAAGAGAGCAGACATTAAAAAAAAAAAAATGCCGAAACTAAAAAAGTCGCAACATCAAAGAGCTGCGAACATGAGAGTAAAGAAAACTGAAAAACAAAGAGCGAGCAAACCGAACACAAAAAGAGAGAAATAGTAAAAACAAAAAAAAAGGGGAACTTAAAATACTACATTCTAGACCCGTTCAGCTCCGTGTAGCAAGAAAGCCGATCGCGTGCAGGGTCCTATATATTTCCGGGTTGCCTTGAAGGTATATCTAATATCATTTGAGTTTGTTGAATTATTTTCTGTTTTTACTGCAGCCTTTCTTTTATTCCACTGGCGAATTTGTTTGTCTTCCGGCTTTTTCCCCACGTTGCCTCCTGCACCCGGGTCAAGTACATAGAAGGGAGTCCGACATCATTCACAAGATACATATTCCTTGAGTTGTTCTATTCCCTCCTCTGATGTTTCCTGTGTGTCGGCTCCCGTGCGCTCGAGGTTGACTGCCTCTCCGTAGAGCACGCGGCGGCATGCTACCAGCTCCTTTCCTATCTCAGACTTGAGCCAGCCGATCATAAAGGTGGGCGTCCAGCCGCGTGGGTTCATGCAGCTCACGTATGTCGCCATCGTGTTGTTCCCAATTGGTGTCAGTTCCCATGCCCAAAGACAAGACGCGCGCACATGGTTGTTCGATTTCTTTGCACGAGGTGCGTAATCGATGCTGCAGCCATACACATAGTACACGTCGTCCTCCTCTACATATTTCTTCTCGGCAAGGAAGACGAATTCGCGCCCAGCTACCGGTGGTGGCGCCCAGTACTCGTGATACTGGATGTTAGACGTGGGTGTCGGACGAGCGAGGATCTCAAAGTGGGCCATGTTGGCAGAGTACTTCTTGCGGCTCTCCGGGTCATCGCCGTGCATCGTATCAAGCACCTGCTGCGGTGTCACACCCATGAACGAAACAGTCGCCTTGGCGAAGTTGAAAGGACCAATGTGCGTGCGTGTAAAGAGATGCAGGTCGCCACCCTTGTCCGGGTCCTGATAGTCAACGAGCTGCCAGTTGTGCTCTGCGTCATTCTCGAGCAGGTCCTTGGCAGCGGCGAAGATGGTGTCTAGCATCTCTTGCACGCGTGGCGTGTCGTCGGAGTCTTCCAGCAGGAGCAGCGGAAGAGCACATGGATACGGCGGCTGTTCCGTGCCGGCGGCGAGGCCTGTCTTGGCGGCGGTGCTGTAGGCGGCCTTTCCAACTTTGGACACAACGCTCCACATTCTCCTTGCTTTGGGAAGAAAGTACCGCGATAGTAGTGAAACTACACTCTGGTGAGAGCGAGCAGACGCACGGTGATGTAGGAACAGACAGCAAACAAGCAAGAAAAAAGCAACCCAAGTAGGCAGGTGATACCAACAAAAGTGAAAACGGTTACGGCTCTGAGTGCGTCCTTCCGAAACCCTCCATGGGCGGGGAAGGGCACACACGCTGCACAAGGCTCGGAGTCCCAAGCTGCGTATCCATTAAGAAAACAAACAAAAAAAAAACACAACACCAAAGCGCTTCTTTCTCGCTACGGAAGTTCGATGTTGCACGCAAGCCGCAGCACGTGCCGCAGCGACCGCATCCACCGCCCCATCACATCACCCACCATCTCGTTGCGCAGAATTACGGCGACAATCTTTCGGCGGAACTCCGAGACCGCATCCTCGTTCACACGGTCCACGTACACACCATCTTTGCCAGAGCCGTTGTTACCCTCGCGCTGAATACGATCCAGACGGTAGTTGTACCGCTGAAAATCAAGGTACGAGAGAAATAAACCGTTTGCTGGCACCATCGGCGTGCCGCACCGCACGGCCTTGTTTAGAAAATGATCGCGCAGATACTCCGGTGACGAACCGGCCGCACACATGGATGCGACAGCCCCGATCATTTTACGTATCTGATTAAACATGAAGCTCTGTCCGTGAAGCTCGATGCGCACCACCTCCAGGCCACCCTTGCTGCTGACGTCACTTGGGTCAGCACCGTAGACGCGCAGCATGTGTTCCCGCATCCGCTGCCGTTGCTCTTTAATATCCGCATCGTCCTTCCGTTGCTGCGGTATAAGCCGGGCGGGTCCCTCATCGTCCGGGGAATAACACCGCGACGGCGTCCACTCCTCCAATGTCGAGAGCAGCGCCGGGTCGGCAGGGTCAACAACGAACGGATCCCCCACTGTTACAGAGACAATGTACCGCGCGCATGCGGGGTCGTTCGCCCGCCCGCCAGGGGTGAAGTTGTGGAATGAGTGTGTTCCTTCGTATAGGCGGAAGATGCGCCGCGCGTGCTCCAGACGCTCGGGCGACACGCGGTAGCGCGCCACCCTTTGCATGGCGTCAGCCGGAATGGTTTGGAACACCAACATCTTCTCGAATAGACCGTCATGAAACTTCTGCACCGTCGCATTACCAACGTTTCCACCTCTCGCATCAGTGCCTTCTTGTTTCTCACCCAACTTCTCCTCCTCCTCCTCCTTTTCCATCTCCCTTTCATCTACCTCAACTTCGCCACGTGATCGCTTCACACCCGGAAGTGTGCGCGCTGACGGTGCTGCTTCTGCATCGTCAGGGTCGGGCCTGACACCGAGAAACCCGACATCCACAAGCGTGGGCCGTGACGGGGCAAGATCAGGGGGAAAGTAGTTGCTGCAGTACTCCTCGTGGCTCATCAACGCAAACGTCGGCAGGTAGTACTCGTACGTACGCGCACCGCACATCATGTAGGCGTTAAAACTACGTGTGACTAGAACAATTTCATACACGATTATGTCATGCGGCAGTACTGACATCAGCTGTCGTCTCGCTTCCTCTGTGTCGTATTCCGTAGTAGATCCCTTCGCCAACGGCAGCATGACGTTAAGCGAAATAACGTTGCGCAACGCGTGGACACCCTTGTCGGTGCGGCTCGCACGCTCCCAGTTGAGTTTCTGCTGCACTTTTTCCTGCTCGTAGTTCTCCTTTGAGATCATATCGGTGCGGTGCAAGGCACGCAGCAGCTCCTCTTCAACAGTTGGGTAGTCAGGCAGGTGATTCCATTGAAGTCCACAGTAGCGCTCGCCAACGTACCCAAATATGATGGCAACCTTGCGCTTTGGACGCTTACTCGACGTGTTGCCCACCGCCGTCTCGTGCCCGTCAGCATCACTGGCAGGAAGCGGAGGAGGAGGAGGAGGAGGAGTGGAGGCAGATGCAACACCGGCATCACAACCGGTAGCAGGAATGCAACTGGTTCCACCACCACTTTCAGTGCTACCGCTCATGCCCGTTCTACTCGTGTGGGGGAATGCGGCACTACAGATGAAGTAGAGTCATAGGGGAAAATGAGGTGTTGTGGTTAGTCATTGTTGACTACCACGAGACCCCCCACCAAGGCAAGGAGAAAGAGATGCACACAATCCGCACAAGAGCCATCAAAGGTGTCTATTATTTTTTTTCTTTGTTGCTGTTTGTACTCTTTGCAAGACGCTGCAAGCCAAAGTGGCACGGTATGCCAAGCACGATAGATGCATCAACGAAGCAAAAACAAAACAAAAACTGGCAACCCCCACAATCCAGATGCGAAGCATGGCAGTGGCGGTGGCGTACGCCAGAGACTTTCCACACTGCCTGCTTGGTCCACACCCCGTGTGGCGGGCCACTCGCATTTCAAACATCGCGTATATTCACACATCTTTACTCGCGGTAGCCGCCTGCAGGCCATACAGGCACAACGGCGCATTCAACCTCACCTTCCTGCCACCCGTCGTCCACAGTTTAGCGAGCGTCAACATACTGAACAACGCACTCCAGCCGCCACACCGTATATTGTGAGGCCACGGTTCTCACTCCTCCTCCCCACCTCAGGCTCAGGCAGGCTGACCTTCTGCTGGAGCCGGCGACATGGGAAGACCGGCGTCACTTCACACAAGGGAGAGAACGCCACAGACTCTCCATCACTTTCTATGCGCTTTCCAGTGCCTTGGGCCACTATACATACATACATACATACATACATACATACATACATACATACATATATATATATATATGTATATATATGCCGAGCGCAACAGCACAAGAATTCAAATCAGCAAAAAAAAAATGGAGAACAAAGATAAAACTGGCGGCAAAGAAGCAATTTTCAGTTGAATGGAGGCTGGCAAGGAGCATGCGAAAAAAACAGGGAACAAAAGAAGCGTGGATGCACCGTGAATGAGCAGAGTCAGCGCGAACAAGCGATTGTAGGGTAAGGGGAGAAAGTGTGATTCTCCTCCGCTGGCTCGCTCGCCACGTGCTCCATCTTAAGCGTGTGTGTGTCTGTCCTCTCTCTCTCTCCTGATTATTTTGTTTGTACGTTTAGAGAAGAGCTGGGTGTGAAAAGAAGAAAAGCACGACGACGCAGCAAGCTGTAGGAGCGCGTGAGTAATTGCACCCTTATTTGTCATTCTTCTTCTTCTTTTTCCCATCCAGTCGCTTTCTCTTCGACTGCTGCTTCCTATCCACAGCTTTCATTGTCGCTGCGCCCCGCTTCTTCTTCTTGCCGCTGCGCGGGGCCGCGTCGCTCCCCCGCACTGGCGCGCTGAACTGCATCTGGCCGTCCTCACCAACAGTGAAGAGGCCCGCTTCGTCGCCATCATCGTCATCGTCGTCGCCGTCGCCGTCGCCAACATCAGCCGACTGAGACGCCTCGTCGCTGTTGGCATCGCCCGCCTGGCTCTTTGCTGCAGGAGCGGCCGTTGCTTCCTCGCCGTCATCCTCGTCCGTGAAGCCGTAGAGCATCGCGGGAACATGTTCCACATTCGGGCACGACGCGAATGCCTGCATTGTTGTATTGTTCAGTGGCACCACACACACGGCGTTCAGTGCGCGTCGCTGGACCACCCAGCGGCCGAGCCGCGGCTCCTTGCTGCAGCCGACGACGAGCACGTCACTACTGGGGGAGAAATACAGCGATGTGACGATGGCGTCAATCGGGATCGATGCAAGGCACTCGAACGTTGTTGTAGTAATCGTTGATGAGGTTCCGTCGTCTTTACGTCCAGCTTTCTTCGCATCGTCTGGAGTAGTAAGCTGCCACAGGCGCACGACACCATCGTAACTCGCACTCGCCGCTACGTCTGAATACGGCAGTGACGCCACGGCCGTGATGGGGTTCGGGTTCTGCCGCCGCCGCTGCTGCTGCCCCTCCGGCTGCTGACGCTGGGAGTTATGATGTGCTTGGCGAGCGCCGTCGCCGCTTGCCTGCTCGGCAGAAATCTTCTCAAGCCCCGTGCCGTCGCCGGCGAAGCCGTATCCGTGCGCGGCCTCACGCACCGCGATGGGCTTCCGCCTGTTCACGTCGAACACGAGAAGCGCTCCGTTGGCCGCTCCGCAGAGAACAATATTATCGTTCATCATCGCCACGCACTCGAGCACAACCTTTACGTCGAAGTGGGTGCTTGTGGCAAACTCCTGCTGTGTCGCGGCATCCACCTTCCAGTAGCGCATCGTGCCGTCGTCGCCAACACTGGCGCAACGCTCACGCTTGAGGCAATGGACGCCGAAAACGCGTCCCTGGTGCCCGAAAAGTTTGTCCTGGCATATCATCTGCGGCACCGACCAAACCCGCAGTGTCTCGTCATTGCTGCAACTATACAGCGTATCGTGGCGGAACGTCAGGCCCGTTACAGCGGAACGGTGCATTGTGAGGAAGCCCATGTGTCTTCGCGTGCCCGTCACCCAAATGCTGATGGTGCCATCCGCAGCACCGGCCGCAATGTACGACGTAATGCTCGTGTCGACGGTGCTGCGCTCGAAAAGGGCACGCTGCGACGGCCGAACCCCACGTGTGTCGGAGACTGCAATGGCGAGCACCGCGGCGGGCAGACACGGGCTGAGAAGAGATTTCTGCGACACCATCGACGACGGACCGCAGAGCAGCTCCGCGATGTACACTGCGCCCGACTTGTCGCCGAACACCACAACGTCGGGACCAAAGTTGCACACCGCCGTCACCGCATTGCTGTTGTGGCCAACTCGCACCATCTTCACGCCCCCGGTATCAGCATGCACACCCTCATGGTGCTGCTGCTGCTGCTGTTTTTGCAGAAAAGCAGCTATCTGTGGCGCCAGCACACGCGTCTTGGTGCCAGCCGCAAGCGCCGCCTCCTCCCGCAACTGTCGCTGTTGCTCGTCAAACAAGTCCGCGTCGATATCGTCGTCGAACTCCAACTCCTGCAGGCGCGTGTTCACGTGGTCCCCAATGGCGCGAAGCACCTCCGTCGGCTCCTCTGCTGCGAGCAACATCGGATCCACGGCCTGCTCCTCCTGGACTCCACGATCCCGCTTCCCAGTCCTCCGGGGTTTTTGCTCCTTCTCGTCATCCTCGCCGTCCTTTGATTCATGGCGCAGCCGCTTCACCCGCAGAAGTTCCTTTTTGCGCTCCGCCGCGGCGGTGGTGGCAATCGCCTGCTTCCTCTCTGCTCTTTTCTTGGCTAGCATTGAGATTCACCTTTTTTGCGTTGAGGTTTGCAAATGAAGAAGTGCGACAGACACGTGCGAAGGTTAAACAAAAAATATAAAAGAGAAGAAAAGGAGCAAAGCGCGATTCTAAAAGGCGGCAACACCATGGAAAAAACAAGGAAGAGAAAGGAGAAGATGAGTATTTGGGGGGGGGGGTGAGAAAGATGAAAAAACCTGCCAGCGACGCATCCGTTAAGTGACGCTCCCGCAATCAATGCTGGTGTCGGCCGCCGCGCACCTGCTGGAAGGAGAGTTCCCCTTCCTGCGCCGCCACCTTCACCAGCACACGCATCGCGCACATCAGCATCCGCGGCTTCGGCACCTGTGGGTGAAAGAGAAGCATGAGCTCCCGCACCCGACTGCACGCAGTCATGGCTTCCGCTACAGACACAGGAGTGCTGCTGCCGATACTACTGTTGTTCCTTCCGCCACTCTCTGAGGTTTGCCGAAGCGAGAACCGGTTGTTCACAGTTGCTGCACCGAACTGATGCAAGAGCAATGCCACTAGGCTGGACGTTGGCCTCATGGCAATGGCGTTCTCATTCTTCGTCTTCACAACAAGAAGTGGTCCCGGCGAGCGCGAGAGCTGATCCCGCAGCTTCACTAACAGCCTAAGCTGTCGTTTTCGCTCCTGCGCGCTAAGCCGCATAGCCGGCGACGGCTCACTGTACACAATTGTCCTAGCTCCCTCACCACCAGGTTGGCTTGTTTTTAGCACAACAGCAAACCACTGTAGCCCATCTTGGTGAATAAAAGTGGATGCTCGCAAGGTGGACGCGACCGCCATTGAAGACGAGGAATTTAATGGCATTGTGTCATTGCCGTCAATCTGCTGAGAGATTTCATGAGTCCCCATAGCCACTAACTGAGCGAGTTTCTGCTGCTGAAGTTGTTGCGCATTCTCTTCCGCCGCAACAAGGGAAAGGGGAATGTTTTCCCGCCGTGCAAGTTCCTCCTCAAGTGGTGAAATCAGAGAAAGCAACTGCCGTGACACTTGATACGCCTGTTCCGAGAGAGCCGGAAACGCCAATTGACTCGCAGCGATGTGCACCAACAGCAGTCCTTCTGATTTTGTGAACGCCGATGGTGTACTGTCGACAAGCCCCTCCAATGCACTGACGCTCGTGTTGACAGTGCCGCTCGCAATCCCATGACGTGGCGTGCTTTTTTCGCAGTATGGTTCACCCGCAAGCCGTTGCTGCTCCTGCAACAGACGACTCGCGTAATCAAAAGATGTTGAGCCAATGCGTCCACGTCGAGACTCGCGCGCCATCATACTCATGTTGGTGCAGTAACACCACAAGTAGCCAGTGCTATTGTACTTGGGTAAACAAAACGGAGCCCAAATCTCGCCATCCTGTGAGTGGGCCAGACAAGATGTGAAGTTAAGCAGCAGGAGCGCATCGTCAACGTGGAGCAACGCATCGCTATCGGGCGGCCCCACCGCACACACTACGCGTCCGCGAAAGAAGAAAAAGCTATAAAGCTGGTGCTCCGCTGCAGCTGCTGTCGCGGCCTCGTTCAATCCCGACGTGTTGCTGTCGCTGGCAAAGGCGGTACGAAAGTGGTGCGCGAGGAGCCCCTCCAGATAGCGCCGGCGCCCCACCGATAGCGGCGCCGCGGCGAGACAGCGGAACATGTAGCACTCCTCGTGGCTGTTGCGCCGGATCAGTTGACGTAGCACGCCGGCGTCGGCGGAGGAGATGAGGCGGCGCATGTCGTACGAGGGATAGTGGGCGAGAATGTCACACACATTCGGCACAAGGCTGATCAGCTGGAGGTGCATCTGCCGCATCTGCCGCAGGCAACTGCGCGCTGACTCCCCCGTACGCGTGGCAAGAACGTAATAGAGCTCACCCTCTACGTGGAAGTACATGCACAAATCACCCGACGTAACGCGGCGCAGACCTCTGGCGGCTTGCTGGTACGCAGGTGCGCCGTCGTTGCACTGCTGATGTGCCATCGCAATAAGTACCTGGAATATGCCGAAGAGATCGCTGAAGTCGGCCTCGTCACCGTAGCGTGTAAAGATGGGTTTCCCAGCACTCGTCAGAATAAAGACGTGCTTCTTTCGTCCTCGAAGTATGTCGTCTCCTGCCGCAAACTCTGTGTTTTGCTGTCGACTCGTAGGAGGCGGCGATGCCACATTTGACGGCAGCATGGCGTCCGCTCGCTCCGTGGATGCAGTAGGCGGTGGCGCTTCCTCCCGAAGGGTACGCGCGACCCTTTCTTCCCTTGATTTTGGCACCGCACTATCCATCGGCGAACCGCCACGCTCAACAGACAGTTGTAGTGTTGTGTCCTTTGCAGCGCCATATTCCTCTTCCTCCTCATCATCATCATCATCAACATCATCATCTTCCCCCAAGTCATGAACATTGGTATCAGCAGCCACATCAGGCTGTGGCGGGACCATGGCGCCATCAGCAAATTGCTGCGGTCCCTCCGTGGCGGCATCTTGATCCACGTAATTGTTGCCGCCAAAAACGCGATCCGTCAACTCAACTCGATGTTCGTCCATTACGCGCGTGTATCCTTTTTCCTTATTGTCTTGCAGCGTTTGCAGACTCGGGTGTACAAGCGTGGGTATGTGGCTGTGTATGATGTGGCTTCCGTCTTTGCCGGCACAAACGCCGCCCAATAAAATAAAAAAAACAAGAAAAACAATTTCACGTAGAGAAGAGAGGCTGTTGCGCGATGCTCGGACACCCACCCCCTCCACACTCACACAGACATGGAGATCTTCTCAACGATAGCGAACAGCGGTGGCAGCGACAACAACAACAGCAGCAGCAGCAGCAGCAGCAGCAGCAGCAGAGAGAACAACGACAGAGAAACGCAATGTGAACGAGAGGCGCACTCACATGAGGCCTCCGCGGAGGCGTGTGCCGCTTTCCTCACTAAATGTAGGTACGGAAAACCACGTTGGCGGATACCACGCAGCCCGTGTAAACATAAAATAGAACATCACCTCGTACAGAAACAACTGGTAGTATGCCGCATTGAGAAAGCCGCGCAGGTCCGACCATGCCAGATTGTCCCACATGTGGTGATTCGTCATCACCAGGGGCGCGGTATCGAGGGTGTAGGACTGGCTCTTGTGTGCCTCGCGCGTCGCTGCTCCGTACAACAACTCCGGCCACATGGCGCGCCACGTCGTCATAACTATGTGAAAGGAAGAGTATCCGTCGTAGCGGGCAAACCCCGGATTCTCATCCGCATCCACCGTTTTGCCAGAACTTGGCATCCGCCGCAGCTGCTGCTGCACGTTGTGACTGACAACAGGAACCTGCGCAAACGCGGCGCCGTAACTTTTCACTGTTGGCAACGCCGCGCAGTCGCCGAGGGCAAAGATGTTCGCGTGCGTGCGATGCTGCAGCGTCTGGTGGTGCACGTCAACAAACCCGTCCGTCTCAAGAGAACCACTTAGTCCACTCTCACGGATGAATGCCGGAGCGGCGAGTGGGAGGTCCAGCACGAGCAGCTGGTACGGCACCACTCGCTGCTCGTTCATGGCGTAGTTGTAGAGCGTTGCCTCCTTTCGCCGCGGGTCGACGTTGGTGAGGTACGAGGACGTGACGAAGTCAACACCGCGCCGCCGCCAGTGGTCCGCAATGCGCTCATTGAGGACGCTGGGAAAAGCGTCGCTCGGCTGCCGGTCCGCAGTGACGGCGATGTAGGGGCACAGCTCAAGTTTGTTAAAGTACGAGAGGTACCGCCAGATGGTGTTTACGGATCCGACAAATGTGCCGTCGTGCTGGCGCGACGTGTAACGCATAGCACCGTCCCTCGCAAATGAGGCGGGCGGCACCTTTACGTGCAGCACCGTCCCCTTGAAGATGTGGGCGAGGCAATCGCGTGTGACGCCAGGGTTCACGGCGATGCAGCGCCGGTCCACCTGTGCCGGCTCGAGAAATTGCTGCAGCGGCCCCAACGCCCGCTCCGCACCACACGCAACGACCAGAGCGTCGTAAGCGTAGCGCCGCTCCACAGCCGCAGCTTCACCACCACCGCCGCCCTCGCCGCGCGGCTTCCAAAACCGTAGCGCCATCGCCCACGACGATTGTGGCGGCGATTCTGTTCCTCCTCCGCCTCCCACTGCTGCTGCTGAAGTCGCATTGGGCCTTTCACGCACAATGACCTCATTGCGCGCGGTATCGACACGCACCACATCACCCCACACCAGTGACGCATCCCGCGTCACATTCCACGTAGCGGGCGAACGCAGGAAGTCCACGCCACCAGTCGTGTTGAGGTCATAGCTACGGTGACCCACGTGAGCGAGCGGCACCATCGCCTGAAACACATGCTTTCGCTCTCGCTCAATCACCGTCACTTGCAAATCCGCCGAACTGCTCGTGAGGCTTGCAGCAAGCGCCGAGCCTGCGGCTCCCGCGCCGATGATAACGACACGCGGGCCCCCACGCTGTTGCTGCAGCACACCATCGGGGCGCCTCTGCCGCTCCCGCACCTTTTCAAGGGTAAAAAACGCTGCAATCGCTGTCGTTATAAGTGCAACTCCAGCGGACGCGGCGATAAAACGCCGCGACTTCTGCACCGCAAATGGATTCTCCTTCGGCTTTTCGGGCTTCTTGGGGAGGTACATGCGTGCCCTCTGTTTGTTACTGCTATGAAGTCCTTGTAGGAAGAGAAGTGAAGAAAAACATGGTTACCATTTACCCACAGATTCATTCACTGTAATAACTTTCTATCTTGCATTGAAGACGATTCCAACTGTCCCACATTGATAGTAACGTACATGTACGGATAGGTCTTGCCGCTCACTTCTTTACGGGGGCCATGCACGCGTCATGCCCTGCAACTGTTGCGCGCGAAGTACCCTATGCTCAGCTTCCTCGTCACTTGTCTCTAGCTCCGCTTTCAGGTCGCGATGGGCGAAGAACTCTAACAGCAAACTCACAGGATCCTTTGGGCGCTCCATGAGAAGCATTCTCATTGCACGCCGCATGAGTGTGTCGATCTCAGGGTGCTCGCGCAAATACTTGGCGTGCGCAATCTTTTCCTCCGTGAGGTTGCGCCGCATGTTCTGCAGCTCTTCTGGCGTGAGAATGGCGGTGGCCGCCTCCTTAAGAGTCGGAAAGTCCAACGAGCCGCAAGCACCGCTGCTGCTGCCAGTACTACCGTCACCAGACATGTTTGTAGGCCTTCCTTCCTTCTTTATGTCACTCACAACCCTGGCAAACCCTAGAGAAGCAACGGAGGAGCATTATACACCACACACACAGACGCACATATACACCAAAAAGAGACCGTCGCCGCAGGGCCTATTTGTGTCGAGCAGCACCTTAGAGTGAACGTGAAGCGCACATTTTCAAGCATCCGCAGCAACAACCGCACGGAACAAGCGAGGGTTATAAACCCTGAAGGCAAGCATACAACTTTAAAACACACACACACACACACAACATCATATAAACAGGGGCACACTGTTCACGCTGCTGAGCAGCTCTTATTCTTTGCCCTTGTCTGCATGCAGCGCACAAAGATGCGCTCAAACGCGCCTGTACACACACACACACACACACACACACAGACTGCACGATTGACAGCTGTGCGCCTGGCGATGGCGCAGTGCGAGTAAAAATAACAAAAAAAAACGCTGAGGGAGAAAGAGAGAAAAAAGCAAGCAAGGAAGGGTAAAAATCACCCAGGGCAGAAAAACAAAAAACATGACCCGAGAAGGAATCAAACAAACTGAGTAACCCGTGAATGTCCCGGAAATGCTGTTATGGCCTCAACACATTTTCCCTCTTTCCTCTTCTTCACCTCTACTATCTTACTTCTAAATAAATGTGGCGGTGGCGGCACACCCTTACCAGAGTGCAGTGGGTCTGTGACTTTGGCGCGCCATTGCGCGGCCAGTGCGCCGCTGGGCCGCGCGGTCCTCCTCCGCCTTCCAGCGCTCCTCAGTGTCGCCGCGCAATGTGCGCCGCTGCGGCTCCAGCTGCGGCGGGGCGCCAAAGATGAAGTCAGGCATCCCCTGCTTCGGCCGTTGGGCGCCGCGGGCCCTGGAGTGGAGCGCTGCCTCATTACCAAGGCACTCTGTCGATTCCTTCTGCGCCGAGCTCGGCCTCGGCGCCACACGCGGCACGACACGTACGCCGACAGCAGGCGGATCAGGGTAGTCGTTCTGCGACAACACGATGTTGTCACGCAGGTGGCGCTGCGCATCGTAGCCGCCACCGCGGCGCCGCTGCTGCTGCTGCTGCCGCTCCGGCTTCGACTCCACATTGCGGTAATGCGCGGTGCGGTGCTCCTGTGCGTTATCGGGGCGCGGCGCCGACTCATCAAGGGCAAACGGCACGTGCGCCTGAATCGCATCGCCTGGCTGCCCCAAATCAACGGGCCGATTATAGGAGCGCAGCTCCGCACAGCGCGCCTCGCTACCCGCCGCATACTGCTCCGCCGCGACACGCCGCAAGAGTCGTTCCTCCTCCTGGACGATCGACACGCTGCCAGCGTGCTGCAGCACCTCGCGCGCCGCCTGCTGGTAGCGCGGATCCTCAGCGAGTTTGCGCACCCGCGCCTCGGCGAGCTGCACCGACGTATTCATTGTCTTGCTACGTGGACTTGAATTGGGACGGTTCTGCGCCGTACCGTTATTGTCGCCCATTGCGCTGATACTGAAGTCGCTTTGACCACGACCCTGTGCAACGGTGCTTATGTGTCGTTTTCCGTAGCGCCCTTCCTCGCGCTTTGCCTCGTCGGAGAGGTTCATATGATGCGGGTCAATGTGTTTCTTGCCGCGGTACTCCGCCTCCTTGCTGCGCACGTAGCGCTGCGGGTGGATGTGGGGCCGGCACTCGCGCGCCGCCGCGTTGCTCTCGGGCGTGATGCCGTACTCCGTCTGCATCAATTGGTTGGCACCTGCGCCCTGCACAACACGCTTGCAACCGCCATTCTCGCTGACGTTGTTGTTGTTGTTTGCACCGTTGCCATTTTTGGCAGCAGTGTTGCCCTTGCGGCTCGCACCGCTTACCATCTCCATGTGCTGCAGGAGCGGGGCAGGGATATCTCGAAACAAAGCAGCTGCAAGTCGAGGAAAGCGTATGGCCCCTTCTTGCTCTATCATCCAGTGCAGGAGCCCCCCCCCAAAAAAACAGCAAGCAAAATCAAAAACGGAAAAAAAAACAAGAACAAACCAAAAAAAAAACAAAAAAACAACTACACACAACAGAGGTAGTACAAAAATAGCATCACACAGGTCCTCAGCTTCTCTTCGGTTCCCCTACTTATTCCTTTCACGACGGTAACACACCACAAAATCGTACACCAAAAACACACACGCAAGCCAAGGTCTCTCTTGCGCCACCTCTCATCTTTGTCTTTCACATTGGTGGAGAGAGAGAGAGAGAGACGTGGAGCATCAACGCGGCTGCAGTAGCAGTAGGCTCTGCAGCTGTTGGCGCAGGGGCTCCCTGTCGCCCTCAACCTCCGCTAGCCGCTGTTCGAGTGCACGATTCACCTTTTGCAGCGCCTCGGTTTTCTGCGCCTCAGTGTCGAGAACCTGTTGCTGCACTCGCCACGCCTCCTGTAGGCCCGCCACTCGCTGCTCCAGCTCCTCCGTCTGTCCGCATTGCTCCAGCAGCTGGCGGCTGAGAGTCTTGGATTGTTCCTCGGCAGCGGCGCACCGGTTCCCCTCCTCCGACAGAGAGTGCAGCACCGCCTGGTGGGCTGCATGAGCATTGCTGAGTTCCTGCTGCAACGCCTCAATGGTGCGCTCCGCCCGCCTCGCCCGCGCCGCCTCCTCGTTCTGCCGCTGCTGCAGTGAAACATTAGAGGCGGCCAGCTGTTCACGTATATCCTGCAGTGCGTGACCAGCTTTGCTCTGCGAAGCACGTGCCTCCTGCAGTTCCCGCTCGAGTCGCAAGATCTCCTGCTGCATCTCTGTACGCACAGCTTCTGTGTCGTGACGGATCTGCGACTCCGCCTCGCGCGCGCTGTGCAGCTCGGCCTGCAGCTCTTCTAGCCGCCGCTGCAGCTCCTCGCGCAGCTCCTCGTTATCCCGTCTCTGTGTGTCACGCTCAGACTGCAGCGTATTCACCGTGTCGCGCCACTGAATCCTCTCCATCTCCCACTCACGCTGCTTCGCAGCGAGCCGCTCCTCAAGGTGCTCGACGCGCGTACTAAATTCTTGGCACCGCGCTGTCACATCGTCTAATTGTGTTTGCGCATCTTGAGCGGATTGCTGCGCTCTCAATAGCTTTTGTTGTGCCGTCAACAGCTGTGTACAGAGCTCCTGTTCCCGTTCCACCACACTACGGGTGGCATTCAACATACGCGATTCCCAGGCTGCGTTGAGGCGATGACTCGACCGCTGGTAGCCACCTTCCTTCTCCTGTACATAGCTTATTGCATGGCGGCGTAGTTGATGAAACAGAGTGGCACACGCATCAACGTAGGCTTCAAGTATACCATCTACCACCGCGGACAACATGGCATCATCCTCATATGTCTGCGGCTGGTGGTGGTGCTGCTCCTGCTCGTGCTGTTCGCGTTGCTGTTTTTCGTCCTGGTCCTTCTTCTCCTCACCCTTCTCCTGGTGTTGCTTCTCTAATCCTTCATTCTCCAAAAAGGCAACGCCATTTATGTTGTTGCTGCTGCCGTGTGGCCCATGGGTATCACTAATCCGTTGAGGCAATCCAGTGAAGGAGTCATGCAGCTGCCGCAAGGCCACCCATGAATGAGAGTACGGCCGAACCAGCAATTGATCCAACGCAGACATCAGATCTTTGAGGAATTGCTCAAGTGCTGCAGAAAACGTCGTTACCTGATCACACTGGTTCCACCCGCCTAGTGCAGGGGAGAAACTCAGCTCTTCCACCACTGGCGATGTTGGAGGCGATAGGGTTCGGCTGGGGCTTTGTCCAGGTTCCATTTGCTCCTGCTGCACGCTTGGACTGAATGAAGGCGACATAGTGCATGACAGCGGGGGTGCCAGCGCAGTAGAGAGCGCTGACGAGCGCACAACCTTGAAGGTGGGTGTCGTCTCCTCCGCCGGTTGACGCGGCGTAGCCACAGCAGAGTTGTCACATGGTGAGCTAACAGAAGCAGTGAGGGCGGCAGAGGGCTGCTCGTGGAGGACAACAACAAGGCGGGCGGCTGCCTTCTTCGCGGCCGCCTGCAGAACCGACGCCACTTGTGCGCACTGGGGCACGGGGCTCAATGGCATTTGGTTCACGCATTCCCGCAAACACTGCTGCTGTTCGTCGAGACGGTCACGCAACACCGTTGCCTCCACCTGCACCGCGGCGAGCGACGCCGCAAGTTGCTGCGCGAGTTCGCGCTTCTGCATAAGCTCCGTCTCCATCTCCTCGTAGCGTTCAACCGGCACCATCGAGTCCGTCAACTCTTTTGCCCTCTGCGTGGAGCGGTGCAGGGCGTCCTGCAGCTTCGCCCCCTCGATCTCCGCGTCCCGCAGCTGGCGGGTGAGCGCGGCGGTGACCGCCTCCTTTGCCTCCCTCGCTTCCTTTGCTTCGGCCTGCGCCTTCGTAACGGCCCCTGCCATCTGCTGCTGCAGAAGTATGTTCTCTTCGGCAAGCTGCTCGCGTGCCTCGCGCGCGCTTTGTCTTGCATCTGTCACATCACGGGCGAGGTGTGCCGCCTCTGCCATGGCGGCATCGAGTTCGCTGCGGGCCCGCTGCAGCTGCTCTGCACGACTCGCGGCAACAGACTCTACACTGCTGAGTCGCTGCTGCAAGTCGTGCTGCACCTCAGCCATCTGCTGCAGTTCCTTCTCGTACTGCTGCTCCTGTCGCTTGTGGTGAGACTCGCCTCCCTGCACAGTCTGCTCTAAACGAAGGATCTCTGCCTGGAGTTCTTCCACGTCATTCACAGCTTTTGCACGCAGTCGCTTATTTTCTAACTCGAGCTCATCCACTATCGCACGCAGCGTGCGCTGATGCTGCTCCATCTGTAGATGCGCCCCAGCGTTGGTTAAAGCAGAAGCAGCCTTTTCATCCTCCCGCCGCCTGTTGAGCTCCGCGCGCAGCGACTCGATCTCTCTCTCTGCAGCGCGCCGCTCATCCGTAAGCTGCTCCTGCAGAAGCGCCAGCTCCGACGCACCCTGACGCCGCACCTGCTCGAGTTCACGCTGTAGCGTGCCCTGTGCCGCACGCTTCTCCTCCTCCAACGCTGCGACGCGGTGCATCACTTGGCGCTGTGCCTCTAGACTATCCACCTCACGGAGTCGGTCCGTCTGCGCATCGAGCGACTGCACTTCCACCTTGAGCGCCATGAGCGCCTGGCGCAGCTGCTCGTTCTCGCGCGTCAAGTCCTGCGTCTCGTCAAGCGCAGCCCGCCGCTCAGATTCGTTTCGCTCCCGATCCACCTCTCCGCGACGTAGCCGCTCTTCTAACTGCTGCAACAGGCGTGATAGTTCTGGCACGAGTCGTGTCGTTTCGTCGAGAGATTGCGCAAGCCAGCGCTCCAACTGCGGCGTTGTTGCTGCCAGTGCTGATGACGACGATGACGATACTGCCGCTTGCTCGGCAGAAATGTCGGTACTCATCATCGACGGAACACGCAGGCGTGTCGTCAGTGAAAAAAGAGCCGACGATGGCTGCTGTTTCTTGCTATGGCTGCGGCCAACCATCAGGATGACATCCTGCAGCTGGTTGTGCAGCGCTACAAGCAGAGCGGAGGCGCTGAGCAGCTCCACAGACGGTTGCTGCGGATCGCGCTGCATCGCCAACACTCCTGCCCACTCAAGCTGCTGCTGCCGGAGGGTGTTCTCCGCCTCGCGCTGTGCCGTCTGTGCGTGTGCGGCCTCCCGCTCCCGCTGCTCCACGCAGCGCTGCATCTCGGCAAGTGAAGCCTCCGCTGATCGCCGCGCCTCCTCCGCCACCTCACTCTTCACGCCTGCACAGCGTGCCGCTTCAACCGCGCCTTGCAAATCACGTTTCAGCGTCTCATGCGACTGCTGTTGCTTCTCCAATTCCTTTTGCAGCCGCTCCACTTGCGCATTGCTCTGCCGTAATTGCTCCCGAAGTGACGAATCCAACTCCTGCTGTTTCCGCTGCAACACCGCGAGTACTTCGCTGCTCTCACCGCGGGGTGGCGTCGTCTCGTGTCGCCTTGAGCGTTGCTGTAATTCCTTGGCCTTTGCCACGGCGTCGTCGCGCTCCCTCGCAAGCTGCGAGCAGCGCTGCTGCAACTGGTCCATCTGGCCTAGCACCTCCTGTCCAACGTCAATGCAGCGCTGCAGCTCCACCTCCTTCGCCTCGACGACGGCGGCGTTTTGGCGGCACATCTGCTCGTACTGCATGAGGGCCTGGTATGCATCGGGGGCGGCGCGCCGCAACCGTGCCAGGTCGTCGGGAGCAAAACTCGCTATTGGTGTGAGCGGCGAATACCGTTTCGACGCGGAGCGCTGACTCTCTGCATCGGCGGCGGTGACGTCGCTGCTGTTCAGCCCCGCGTCGATCGCAGCACGGGCCTCGTGCCCCCGCCTCCTCCGCATTGCACACACTAGGGAAGGCAAGACAGGTGAGCAGCAACAGTATCAGCAGGAGCGCGATACAAATAGGGGATGGGGGCCACACAATACGCCAGCGCAAGCACACGCCCCCTTTATGTATGTGCGAATGTGTACACGGGGGGGAGTGGCTCACTCTATTGCCGGCTGCGCGCCTCCTCTTTCTCCTCCACTCAGTCTGCAGCAACAGAGAAAGGGGAAACAAAGAAGCAAAGCAAAATACTTGTTGAACAGAAACGCAACGCAGCCAGAAATCCAAGGAACACCGGCAAATCAGCATCAGCATCGCGACGGTCCTTCACTCGCTCTCTCTCTCTCTTCGAGATGCTTCTGTCCGAACCGCAAAGATATAAACAAAAGAAAACAAAAAAAAGAACACGAACAGTTCAGCGGGTACGATTTCCACCCCTGCACTATTCCTCTCTTTTCCCGTCGACGCTCCATTCAGTTGCGTCACATGACTTCATGTACACACACGGACATACAGACAGACTGCCTCTCTCTCTCTCTCTCTTTCATTCTTTCTTTTTTTTTTGTCTTCGTGTTCACCCTCAACTGTGCGCGTACGAACTCCAGCTCCCCCTCTCCCCGCACCCCGCACCACAGTCGGACTCTAATTCCCCGTCAGCACCAGCATGTCTACGCCGTTGCCGCCCGCACCCGCGCTTCCCATCACCTGCTGAATGTCGCTGTCAAGGGCGTTGCGGCCGCGCGGCCCTTCGCTGTGGATCGCCTGCAGTTTCGCCTCCAGTACCCGCTTGAGGTTGTTGAACCACTCCACCTGCTGCACATTCCCTTCATAGTTCCCCTGAATGTCACGCTGGCGCTGCTGCAGTTCACGCAACCGCACCTGCAGGTCCTCTATTGCTTGCTCGAAGCCCTTCTCTGCCACAGCAGAGACGCCATGCTCCTTGTTCAAGTGCTGCACCAGCCAACCCCTCGTGGCGCACACCTTGCCACAGTACGTGCACTTGAAGTTTCTACTGCCGGCCGCTGTCGTTGCCCGCTCCTCCGTCGCCGGGCCGTTGGCACCGCTGCGGAGAATCTCGAGGTACTCTCGCTCTCCCTCGAGACGTTCCAGCTGCGCCGTGAGCAGCACGTATTGCGTCTGCAACCGGTGGTAGATGGATTCATTTGTGTTTGTCTCCTCCCGCAGCGTCTGCACCTCTCGTTCCATCTTTGATATATCCTCCATGAGCACACCCTCTTGGTACTCATACTGTGACTTCTTCTCAAGCCACTCCTGGTCAACCTCTGCCGCCCTCTGCCGCACGTTGCGCAGTTCGTTGATGAGTGGTGCCAGCTTCGTGCGCCGCTCACGGATCGCCATGGTGAAGTCTTGCACGACATGTGAAAGCTCCTCCAGCGTCTTGCCCTTCAGCTCCTCAATGGTGTCCTTTTCGCGCGAGAGCTTACTGAGGGCCTCCACTGTGCGGCTGTAACCCTGCAACCCAAGCTTCCCCTCCAAGTCACCGATCTCCGCGTCAAGGGCGTTGAACTGCGCCTTGAGTGCATTCTCCGTGAACGTCAGAACACCCCACTCAACGCGCAGCTCCGATAGCTTAACTCGCATCCCCTCACTCGCTGCCTTCTTCGCTAACACCTGATTGGAGAAGGCGCGGAACTCATCACCCTTCAACATCTGGTGTGCTTCCCGAAGCTGCGCAATTCGGTTCTCACGGTCGCGGATCTCATTCAGAGTGCGGCTGTTGTCGGCCTGAAGACTTGTGAGTTGTTCCAAGACTTCATCCTTTCGTTTCGCCACACGTTGTACTTGTTGTTTGATAGTTGAGATTGTGCTCCCGTCTTCACCAGGTTTCTGCCGCTCCTTTACCTTCTGTTGCAACTTTTTCAAAGCATCGTCGAGTTGCTGATTCTCCGTCGTCAGCGCCTGCATATCCAGTGCCTCGGAGATGAGATGGCTCAGCTCTTCGTTCTCGCGCTGCTTCTGTTCGATCTCCTTCGGCAAGTGCTCCTCCAGGATCATCTTGTTTGTTTGTATCTCGTCCCGCAAGCGGCGCACAATAACATCCACGCGCCCATCGGCGGCGTCGCGGCGAAGATTCTGGAGCCGGTTCTGCATCTCTGTGCAGCGCTGCCGAGCAGAAATAAGCGACTGCTGCAGCTCCACCCGCTTCTCTGCAAGTTTTGCCTCATCTTCGAGCGCGGCACGCAAGGCCTTACTCGCGTTGACGAGTGCCTCCTTATCAGGCACGGCGCTGAGCTTCTTCTCCGCCGCCTGGATGTATCCCTTCAGACGGTCGCGCTCCTCCTCAAGGGCGGCGACTTTGCGGCGCGCCTCAGCAGGGTCGGCGTGTGCCGTGCGCAGCGCGTCGACGCGGCGATGTGTCTCAACAAACATCGAGCGGAGGCTTTCGTACTGCTGATAGAGCGCGCGCACATCCTCGTCCTGCGCCCGCATCGCCTCTGGAATGTCAAGCCGCTGCAGGAATCGGGCGAGGTACACGCGCTTCTCGTTCTGTGGCATGTTCGAAAGCACCCAGTAGAGCGTCGGGTACACGACAGTCGGCTCGGCCTGCAGGAAGCCGCCTGGGAAGCTGTCGACGAGCAGCGGTGGCACGCGGTACCCAAGCGTCTTTGTGAGGAACTCAATCATCCGCGGTACAGCCTCCTCGAGCGGCACCTCCTCAAGATCCATCTGTTGCGCCGGCGACAGTGTGCCGAAAACGTCGTTGACGATCTGCAGGAGAGGCACCCCTTGGATCGCGTCGAATTCAACAAGCGAATACTTCCGCGTCAGCACCTTGTTTACATTGTCGACGATGTACTGCAGCACCTCCTCTTCCGCCAGCTCCGATGCGGGTCGCACCTTGACAGCACCGGCGCCAGCTTCCTCGTTCGGCAGTGTGGTGCCCGACGCAGAGGAGTTACTGGGGGCCATTGCCATCGTTGCGCCGAGTCCCCCAAGCCTGTGTGTGGCGTGAGCGCTCATCTGACCCTCTTCCCTCGGATTCTCGTGTGTATTCTATTTTGGTTTCCTCTTCACGTTGATGAGGACGACGACGACGATGATGATGATGATGGTGGTGGTGGTGCTCTTCTTGCCTGATCCCTAACTTGAATCTTCGTTGAAAGAGAGAGAACAGGGACCCTTTGGTTGCGTGTATATGTGCGGTTTGTCCGTGTAATGCAGAGCACGGCTTGTCCCAATGGTACACCGCACTCACCAACTCACTCGCTCGCTCTTTTTNAAAAAAAAAAAAAACTTTTTTGCTGCCAGTTACCACGTTCCTTCACAGCGGCGGCCAGAAGATGAGGAGTGGAGAGCAGTCACTTTAGAAGGCGCGCCATGTCTGCCACACACGAAAGTACACATACAAAAGTATGTGTATCGATACGCACATGTATATGATTGCACACGGAACTCACCTTCACAGGTACGAGGCATGACGTCTGAAAAGTAGAGGTAGACAAAAAAGGAGCAGAAAAAAAAACCACATCTTCCCACTACCACTACGAACTATGCACGCATGCCCCTATTCTCTCTTGAGCTGCAGCAGCCGCCACTCCAAATCGTCACGCGGCACAGTGAGTGCAGGGATCACCAACCCAGAGGGCGTCTTAATAGTTGTGCTTCCCGCACCTGTGGCGAAAGCCACAGCGGCAGGGGCGGTACCGTTCTTTCCTGCTGCCGCGGCCGCACCGCTCATGATTGCAACCCCACTCGCCGCGGCTGCGGAGGCAACAAGACTGTTCGGGTCGCGCAGCTTCTCCTCGTCATAACCCTCGATGCCGTACTCCGCCGCAACATTGGTGATGTACTCCAAGCAGCGATCGTTCGAAGGTGTGAAGATGCCAAGACGGTCGATAAGCCTCTGGTTCACCGAGAACTCAGCATTGTTAATGCTCATCGCAACAAACTCTTTTCCAAATTTGCTCTCGAAGCACTTCCTGATGCTCTGCAGTTCCGGCACCGTATCGCCAACGCGGGCAGAGGCCCACAGCACCGACGTCACGCCTTCCTTCAACTCCGGTGGGCAGTGCGCGACGTGAGCGCCGCCACCGCTTTTGCCCTTAGCGCCACTGATCTCCGCAATGAGCTGCACGCGGTTGGCGATGAGGTTGAGAAAGAGCTCCAACACCTCGAGGCCCTCAATGCTCACGTCGTCGCGTATCGCCTGCTCGACTTTGATGCGAGCGGCGTCGTACTTCTGCAACGCGAGCAGCTCCGCCAGCTGTCGTCGCTGTATCTTGACGCTGTTGACGAGCTTGTTCTTCTGCATGCGCACGCGCGACACCGCCATCTGAAGATTCGCCTTCACCTTGGTGGGGTCGAACCCCGCTGTCTTGCCGGAGAAGAACGCTTTCATGCCGCCACGGCCGCTCTGCTTCGCCTTGACTTGCTAAACGTCTATTGTCGCAGTCGTTCACTGCAAGAGAGCGGGGCGTTTGTGTGTGTGTGTGTGTGGAAGGGAGGTGGGGGGGTGGAGGTAAGAGGAATCAACAGCAGCAGCAGCAGAAGCAACAGCAGCCCCACCANTGACTTGCTAAACGTCTATTGTCGCAGTCGTTCACTGCAAGAGAGCGGGGCGTTTGTGTGTGTGTGTGTGTGTGGAAGGGAGGTGGGGGGGTGGAGGTAAGAGGAATCAACAGCAGCAGCAGCAGAAGCAACAGCAGCCCCACCAGCGACAACCACGCCCAGCACACCACCACTCTCTTTCTCGATTCTACACGCGCCGCATCGTGTCACAGTGCCGCCGATACCTGCAGCCGCAAGGCCGGGGAGAGGGGCTGCAAGCGGTGCCACGAATCAGCAAACAGGACGAGCACAAGAGGTAGAGAGAGAGAGAGAAACGCATCCGTCAGCTTTGGAATCGAGGAGGAGAGACCCACTGTTTCTCAGTGCGGTGGGCACCAATAGTACCGCCCCCAGCCGGCAGGTGAACCGTCCGCGTGACTCCCCGCAGTTCTTCTGGCCGTGGCCTCGACGCGGTGTGTTGCGAACAAGCCAAACAACAGCAGCAGAAGCATCATCATCGCCGACAACAGAAACGAGCCACGACGGCGACAAGAAACCACAGAAGCAGAGATGCAGGTCACTAGGGGTCGAGCTTCTTATGCGTCAGAAGATGGCGCACTGCCCCCGCAGCAGTAGCAAAAAATCCAGTGCTGCGTTACGCACGCGCACAGCCGCGGAACACGCATGAATCCCCTTCGACGCGCTGTCGGACGCACGCGAAGGGAACCAAACGAAGACCAACCCACCGCCACTCCATGCCTAGTTCACCACCAGAAGGAAAACAAGAACACAAACAACGAAGGAAAAAGAAGAAAACCTTAGAGCACTACATTCCGCCCAAAACCCGGTCTCATACCACAAAGCATGCAGACGCATCAGCGTATTTCCTTTCAAGGCATTCCTCCCCATCACTTACACAGACACATACACACGCGCGCACACACACAGACGCATGTTAGAGGAAAGAGACAAGAAAAAAGAGAAAAGTTGTGCAGCAATTCACGCGCATGCATAGCGACACCTTGGTTTGCCGCTTATTCGAACGATTCCTTCTCACGCCTCTGTGCGCTTTAAAACCGCCTCAGTCGCAGGTGTGGAGCACAGGACGCCCTCACCAAAACAGCTCCTTCTCTTTGGCGCCAACGCCTTCCTTACTCCTCTAACGGCGGCAAATCATCATAGTCGTCGTCGTCGTTGTTGTTGTTCGTGTTGATGTTGTTGTTCTTGATGCCGCTGGCCTCCTGTCCGGGCGCGTCGCTGCCGGCGGACGTCGACTCCGCCTCGGCGAAGTCCTTTTGTGCCATCATCTGTGACATGAGGTCACCGTAGTCCATGCCGAGGCCGCCACCGTCCTCGCCATCGTCGGCGCCCTCGTCGTCATCGTCCTTCCAGCGCGACCAGTCAACCTGGATGTGGGGGTTCCTCTCCTTGTCACGTGTGAGCCGCGGCCAGGCGCGGTGGAGCGTGGCCTCTTCCTCGTTGCACGCGTCGCTGAGCTGCCTCTTCTTGAGCTTCAGCTCGATCTGGCGCGGCAGCGTTATGTGGCGGCTCTCCTCGGACGCCACCTCGCGGAAGAGCTCGATGGCGCACGCATACTTCTGTCCGTCGGAGGTGGCGGCGAAATGCAGCGTGCGCCCGCCGCGTATCTCCACCACCACGTCCGTCGCGTCCTGCAGCGGCACCGACACGAGCACGAACTCCGGTCGCTGCGCCCACATGATATTCGGACACGCCGCATCCGCGACGTTCGACATGATGACGCACACGTCCTCTTTTTTTGTTACTGCTGTTCGTTCTAGCGACCAACAAAGTCTGCTGTTGTTGTGAAGTGGGAGACACGGCAAGTAAGCCGCCTTTTACGCTCTCTCCGTTGCGCTAATTAACGCCCCCCTTTTTACTCAGGCGAGACCTATTTCTTCTTTACTGTGCGTACGTGAGGACAACCGCAGCAACAGCAGGGGAGCGGGGCACAGCAACGCACGTGGGTGGGATGCGTGAAGCGTGCAGAAGACGTCACGGGAAAGGGGCAGAGAGATTTACAGAAACAGAACAGAAAAGACACAGAGGTGGGCAACACCCTTCTCGCCACCCAAACACAAGACAGAAGACAACACACACACACATGAAAAAAAAAGATTGCATGATATAATGACAACAGAAAGCGGCAACAGGACAAATAACAACAATCCCCTCTTCACCTTTCATTCATTCGCTCCTTTCTCCACTACAACTTTGGCGCACTTCATCCGATGAGCCACACCCATTCGGTCCACAGTCTTCTCACCCCTTGTTTATTTCTCTCCTTCTCCCTCCGTCTCTATAAGGGTCGGTGTGCGTCTGTGTGGATCGAGTTCCACGCTCGAAGAGGGGCAGCCAGAAAACAAAAAAAAGGGGGGGAATGTGTGGGGAAGAACCTCAGCAAGTGACAAAACAAATATGAAGCCGCTGTGAGGGGCGTTTGGTCCTATTACTTTATCCTCAATGTTAGAAAAGATGGACACTGCGGAGGCAATTTTTATTGCTGGTCGCAGCGCGGAGCACGACAACGATTGTGCAGGGGGCAAAAAGAGACCTGCGCGCGGCGGCGGAAGAGTTGTGGGAAAGATAAAAAAAAAAAAAAACGAAAGACAAAACAAACAAGAAGTAAATGCTCGCATTCTTCATCTTCGTCCTCCACATAAATTCCCTACTCGGCCCGTTTGTCACATGTTGTGTGTGCATACTTGGCATGATATTCATTTGTATCGTCACATTTGGTAGAGTCACGCCTTCACTTGCTGTGGTGGCCCCGGCCGGAGAACTTCGAAGTGAAACTCGACAGCTCGCCTCCGACGAATAGCTCCGTTGCAAGAGGTGGTACTTCCAGCAGGTAGACGGTGCCAAGGTCGGCATCGTCTGCGAGCTGCGTCTTCCCCAGGAGCTCCACCGACGCGTCCTCCTCGAAGCTGACCCTCACAGTAAACGTCACGTCCTTCGTGTCATTGTAGAAGGCCCACTTATTGTTCCTCTCGTCCACGAGACGGAAGAGCAGACCGTTGCCGTGATCCTTGAAGCACTTGTACACCTTGTCACAGTATGGCATGATCTCCTTGTCGGGCCCCTCATTTTCATATTCGGGGTTGTCCTCCGGCTTACTCCGCGTCACTCCATCCGCAGAGAAGGAGAGCTGGTAGTTTGTCGGGTTGCCGTTAAATATGAAGAGCTCCGTCGTTACAGGTGGCACCGTGATGACACAGATAGTACCGCCCGTCACGTCAGGATCACCTGTCATGGAGGTCTTCTCCGCCGGCTCATAGACACTTTCTGGACTGAATTTCACAGTCGCCGTGATTTCATAATCGTTTGTGTCGTTGTAGAAGGCCCACTTTTTCGTATCTTCATTGATGAGAAGGAACATCAGACCATTGCCCTTATTCTTGAAGCACTTAAAGACCTTTGAGCACGGATACTCAATAATCTCACTGTTCGGCGCACCGTTTTCAAATTCAATACTTGCGGGGTCCAATGACTCCTCGTTCATGATGGGGTCGGCTACGACTGACTGCTTATAGTCACGCGGGTAGCCGCGGAGGAACGGCTCAGTCTGTAGCGGGGCGATCGATAATTTGTACACCGAGCCATTGGCGTGGTCAGAACTGTCCTCCACCATTGTCTTGCCGAGCGGCTCCACGCAAGACTTGTCGGGGAATGCCACCTCCACCTCCATCGCGAACTCCTCCGTATCATTGTAGTAGCTCCACGTGCGCTCGCCCGTCGCGGGGTCCTCTGTGACGAGGCGGAAGAGTAACCCGTTGCCGTGGTCTTTGATGCACTTAAAGACGGAGTCGTACTTCACCGTCGGCGATCCATTGAGAAACTCGACGTCATCGACCGGAACAGGATCACTGGCAAAGTCCAGCAGGAAGCCCTCGACGGTGCCTTCGAGGAAGCGCTCCGTCCGACCCGCGTCGACGGTGACCGTTACCTGGTAGCCCCACTCACTGTCCTCCGGCTCCGCCACCAAAGACGCCCGCCCGAGTGGCTTCACCTTCGAACCCTTCCCGAGCAACGCCGTCACGTGGAAGAGCATTTCCTGCGTGTCGTTGTGGAAGGCCCATTGTTTTTTTGCGTTCACGAGACGGAACAGAAGTCCGTTGCCTTGGTCGGGGAAGCAGCGGTAGACATTCGAGTAGGCAAAGCCAGGTTGCCCGTTCACAAAACTCACTTCGCTTTCAGCAACGTGATCCGTCATCCTCCGAGTTCACCTGCGATCAAGATATAAATAAATAAATAAATATAATATCTTTGTGTGTACCTCTGCGTCTCGAGAGACAGTCAAATTGATCAACTGATAAAAATTCTTTTCTTTTTGGTGTGTGCGTGTGTACCCAGCCTCTTTTGCGCGAGTCTGTGTATCAGCCTTGCTTGTCCCTTTGCTTTTTTTTCTTCTTTTTTAATGACAGACCTACCCACAACACAAGGAAAAACATGCAGAAAGGATAGTTTGGTCAATGGCGTTAAGAGGCTTACACACGTATCGACAAGACATGAAGCAACACGAAAACCGAGTGAGTGATTGGATAGTGATGAGGAGAAGAAGGGAGACAACGCAACAACAACAACAACAACAACAGTGGTTATTTCATTGAGCCATTTGCTTTCCTTCTCATGGCACGTGATTTCACGGAAAGGCATGAACAGCAGGAAATGATAGAAGGTGTTCAGCATACCAGAACCCTCCCATGCCACCCTTCAGCATCGTTTAGTATTGCTTCTGCGGTTGATGCTGATATTTCACGTAAGTTTCTCTCATCTCCTGCATCCGCTGGACGAGTCGTTCCTCCCACTCCGACTGCATGGCTTCCATGGAAGTCCCACTAAGCGGAAAGAGGAGTGACTTCAGTTGGACAAGAGCCTCGCGGCGCTGTTGCATGCGCACAACTTTGGAGGCCAGCAGAGCAGATTCATTTCGCAACTGTGCCCAATAATTCCACAGCTCCGCTCGCTCCGCTTCTCGAAACCCCTTTACTCCTGTGAAGAGTGAAACAACCTGCGCCCACGACGTCTTGCTGTTAGCAGCGGCTGACGCGAGCTGGTCCGCCAACGCTGGCGCCATTGACTCCCAGCGCGGCTCCTCTGCAAGTTCAATAACCACTGTGGCATCAGGTGGGTGACCATTCGCCTCACCAAGCGCAGCTGCGCTGGCCGTTGGCGGCAGCAAGACCGGCGTATTAGCTAACGCTACTGAGACAGACGGCTGGGCGGCGGCAACGGCAGCGGCGGCGGGGTCCCAGCGGCGGAGAAAGCGCTCTACCACACGTACGTAACCATCGTATTGCTCCACGTCCTCAAGAGAGCACTGTTGAATCGCCTGCGCCTCGTCTGGAACCAGTGTGGGTGACGATGCTTCCTGCTGCACCCGCTGCATCCATTCCAACTGCTCTGTGAGAAACGGGCGCACGACGACGGCGCAGACGCTTACAAGATCCCCAACAAAGTCCACGAAGTCCGACGTCTTGTCGTACCGTTCCGGTGGCGCCTCATCGGCTCCGAGTGACGCTACCACGCTAAGCGCCCAGCGAACCGCTGCGCCGCT